ATACGCCTTCTGACTTTTATCGATATCAAGACGTGTTTAACCTGCACATTATGAAGAGAAATCTTTTCAATCACGAAAATTTCACAATTTTTCTTTCTACAGCCATTTTTTTGTGCAATTCAAAGAATTTCGTCCAACTCATGGGTGATCTGATTGAGAAGCCTGTTAACTTCGGACCCGCAGCTGCACTCGAGTTTTGCCATTTGTGCTCAGAAATTACAAGCTCTCGAACTTGCCTTTAACTGCAACTCTTTTCGCAGCTGGCGGAACGCCCGTAAAAGGGCTCGGACCTGGGAGGAGTTCAGGTGCGCTCCATCGCCATTTCAATTAGAGCACCGTTTTTTCAAGTGGGGCGCACTATCTCCTAACACCTAGCGTTTCACAAACTTTCCAAAGAGATGGAAGACTGAGAGAGGGACCATGTGCAAAATAATAGAATGTTTTGGTTCATTCCGCTTGCATGTATTATACTTTTCCTCTTCTCAAGCTGTCAGGACATATCATCATACCCTATGGTTCTCATGATTTGGCGTTCATGCATCACTCAACAATACTTTTGCTTTGTGTTCTTCTATATATGACCTTTGTTTTGGTTCTTATTTTACTCTACTCACTAGAGTTATGCAACAACGCTTTTGGTCCAACAACGAAAAAAGGGGAGACGATCAAGAGGCGCGATTTCTCCGGCTGTCACCAACTTAAAACTCCAGTGTAGTGCTATACGAGTCTTCAAAAAAACCAGATAAAGTGCATTGGATTACTATCTGTCTGAGGTTACCACCTGCTAAGTCTGGTGGCTTTTGCTGGAAAACTAACCAAAATACTTAGAATTTGTTCTTAATTGCATTTTCATGAGTTTTTGACCTTCTCAATTGCTGTTTAGAATGAATCTAAGGTAGCAAGATTGAGCAACCCATGCAACTATCTAGCCCAGCCATAGTTAGCATTTACCCTCTATAATCTTTGCCTGAATTTACGCTTGAAACTCATTTTCAGTAACTGTCTTGAACTTCCGTTTTTGGGTTAGTCTCGGCTGCTCTAACTTCTCTTTGAGTTCACACCACTTGAGGATCCACTTTGTGCAGCTTTTAGAAGTATCTTAGGGCTGCTAGCGCTAAATCGGGATGGATTTAGCACTGGTGTTCGTGTGCGAACTCTTTTTACGGCTCGCATGTGGCCAATCAAATTCTGGCAACAGCTGTGTTTCAGTCCTTCCTACTCCTTCAAAAACATCCTTTACGGTGTTGCTTTGTCTTTTTTTTCTCGAGACGACCTATAACTGTCTTGTAATTACATAACTTATCTCGAAAACATAAAATTCTTTCCTGAGATCTGCTGGAAAACTTGTTAGATCGACGTCTTTGAAGCAATGAGAGCTAAAAAAAAAGAAATCGAATGTGTCATATTTCAATTTTGCCTTGATAGCAATCGCCGCCTTTTCTCATGAGCTTCAAAAGCGCTGCATAGTCGTAAATCATCATTGCTAATGTTGTTCGATAAGCTTGTCGATGATGCCTAGATTGAAAATTGAAGAAAAAATGGGTGAAAAATGGCAACTTTATGCTGGTGACCTTTATAGACTGTAACGTTTTGCTAAATGGAAAAACCGGGATTTTTGCAGTTAGTGAATAGTTTTGAATGTACAAAATTAATTTGCCCAGCTGTCAACCTCAGGAATTCTCTAAAAATCTAAAAACAAACACATTTTGAAACTTGGTGCTATACTAAGTTAACTATGAAACTTTACTTACTGGAACTGAAATTAATGAGAATTTTTTTGAGCGAGAGCTGACCAATGTGCTAAACATAGAACTTGGCCTGCTGCCATGTTCTCACTGAGCATCACTTCGGGAACGGCCATAGGTTGTCGGTGTTGTCGGGGTTGCCGAGGTTGCCGGTCGTTGTAGGACCTCATGATAGCCTCCATGTTTCGCGCGCTCTCTAAACTGTCTCTGACTTCGACAACATGGACAACACCGACAACCTATGGCCATTCCCTTCGGGACAAGTTCGTCGTTTTTCGTAGGACGGGTTCGTAGGCACATGCCGTAGGCTGCGTTCATACTAATCCGGAAATCTGGAAACCTTGGAACTTGGAGCAGATCTTACTTATCATTGAGATCCATTGAGAACATAGATATTGTATATATTTGTGGAAATACATGTGACAAGAGTCCAAACGCATGTAGGGTCGGTCGAATATGCACAAAAAATCCAGCATGCTTGGAATTTATGTATTTCGAGCAAAACATTCTCAAGGATTTCAAATTTCTGGCGGGCTTGTGGGTTTGTGCTTCAAAGTTAAGCAGTAAAATGGTTTGATGTTTCACAGAATTTTTTCTACGCATGAAATGCACGCAAGCGGGTCTTATCGTAACAAAGAATTGGCAGTTTTGATCCTCTGACATGATTTGTCCACATTTTACCGTCAAATTTCCACAAAGATGTCAAAGACTATACGTATGCTCAAAAACTACCCAGATCGGCGTGGAAGTGTTTGGAGATAGTGCGCTCCAGTTGAAAAAACGGTGCTCTTATCGAAATGGCTATGGAGCGCACCTGCAACTCCTCCCAGGTGCGAGCCCTTTTACGGGCGTTCCAGCTGGCGTCGCTTCTGCAGGGATCGCCACGCCTGGACGATGGGTCCGAAAGATGTGTAAGGCATTACCCCAGCGATATTCACCGTAATCAAAGGTTTGATCCTTTCTGTGCAAAACTAGAAGGCTTCAAAGTCACTTACTCGAAAAATGGTGCATTTTTTGGGGCAAAAAATGGTCGATTTTTCAAACTTTCTGGAAAAAATTTTTTTGCAGGTGGCCCCTTGAAGACATGAATGGTCCTCATAACAGCCCCAGCAGGCCTCTATATAACTACAGCATCTGGGCTTTCCAGCTCTCATCCTGCCTGAGATAATCCTGAACAAATAGGCCACTTTTTGCGACGACCTTTTTCCCTTCTGCGCATGTTGGTGGACCGCAGTGAGGTGCTGAGAAGTCAGCAAGACAAATTTATGCTGAGGACAAAATTGTCTTTGCAATGAAGTTTGTAGCTTCAAAAAAGAATCAATCTGCTTGAAGTTACAGCGATTTAAAAAAATTTTTCGCAAGTGCCCGGGAACCTTCTTTACAACCTAATACTAGGCTAGTATGGTTAGAGGCTGTTCGAGGGTACGTATGAATATCCATTCACAACTCATGCATACAACGAAAAACCACACTGTTCCGCTGAAGATTCCGGAACGGGGTCGAACTTCATCGTTGACTCAGCCTCGATCATTCAAACGTGCTACCGAAACATCAGTTGCGGGGCAAATCGCGAATTGTGAATCCAGGTCATTTTGAAGATGAATCATATAGACCACAATACCGCTTCATCCATCTTCAATTGCATTTACCAGAAACAAAATGAACGTTGTCTCACAATGACGCCGCTACTCGGATGCAATAGGCGTCAAATGTGTGACGTCCGTAACACCGTTGACAAATGAATCGAGGTCTGTTTTACTCTAAGACACTTTGAACGGTGGCTGAAGGTAATATTGTCTGTTCCATTGCCCCCTAACCTACTGGTCGGGAAGGAGGTCCGAAGCGACATTACTCCGCTGAAGTTGTATGCAGCAGCCTTGGTGGGTATTGGAGTTATTTTACTGAAACAAGAGACACACGAATTGATGGAAAATTCCTGTCGAATCTTCGTTTTACGGACGATATCGCTCTCTTTTTGAGAAGTTTCGAGCAGAGGCGATGCTAAAGGAAGAAACGAAGTAGGAAGAAGATCGGATTGCAAAACGCGGAGGAAGACTTGTTCTCTGAAAAGCGTCCTCTGTGAAAATGCGGAATGGAATTGGAAGGCACCCCTGTTAAAGGCACCGTCCACCCAAAATCTCGAATTCAATGTTTTTGTCGCCTTCAGGCCTTCTGAAAGCCCTGATTCCGAAAATGGAGTCGAAAATCCGCGAAACCCCCAAAATCCCTGTCTCGAGAACCCTCTGCAACAAGCGCAGGCGAGATAAAGCATGCAAGTGGGCGGGGCGACCGGGGTCGCCCCGCCCACTTTGCTACTTTCGGAGCGGATTTCTCGCCCCAGAAGCAGTCTTTTGCGGCGAAGCTTGGAGGTTTGTCTAGTATGGGGGCCCACACTAGTATGCCATCATATTCTCGCCAATCTCCATTTTGGGGTGGACGGTGTCTTTAAGACGTCTTCTTGAGTGTTTGAAGTTCGATGAACATGCAGAACGATTTGCAGGAATTGATGTTTATTTATAGCAGCTTGCTGTCAGCAAGTGTTGACAAATGATCGCGAAGCCGCGCTGCACACAGAAAATACCGATAAGGGAAAGGACACATGATTTCAAAGTTTTCTTCACACAGCCAGTCGCGATTTTTAATTCACTGCTTTTCTTCCAATGAAGTCTAAAGCTCTCTGAATTAGTGCGGATAACATAGATTTACTATTCTGGCTCCTCAAAACCCAAGACCGAAATTTTTGACTAATCACATTGATACACTATGAAATTTCGGCATGGTAATGGTTCCTCAAGTCACACGTATGCCGGTATTTTCCATAGAGATGTTGGCTAGCTTCTGTTCGAATATTATACCTCAGTAGTGAAACCAAGAGGCCCCCTCCCCTCGAAAATGCGTCATGGATTTTGAGAGTGCCCAAAGTGGATCATAATGTTACATGTGACTTATTTTCATTTACATGTAATCGAAACAGTCTTCAAAAATTTATCAGAATTCGAAGTACCTTCTGAAAAGTTTTTTGGGGCGTGGCCGCCAAGAAAGCCCTCCTTCATCTCAGAAAACTTCGCAGCCACTGCCGATCGCCTACTCGTGAGCAATCAAAAAATTTTTGTAAGCAAATTGTAGTAGCTTGGTGGTTTTGACGTCGTTATGCCACTTTTACCTACGACTTCTTGTTTATTTTTGCCACAAAATAGAATAGAAGATTTTCTCCCATAATCTGAAGATAACATTTATTAACTTCCAGATGATGTATACAAGATCTACATGCAATTTCTACGCATGGTGCTTCTACGAATTGTGGTACCGGTATATTATGATAAATATGCTAACAAAGTCAACAAACACTGCTGATCAAAATGGTGAGGAGATACAGTTTATGTCAACCTTGTATTGCCTTTTCCACCAGCCAAATCGCAACCCCAGAGCCTCGCGTCGCATCGCGCGCGTGTAGCTATGCCTTCAAAACTCGCCTCATCGATCGGAATCGCCGCGCTAGGCCCTTGCGGCGCGGATGCGTAGCTGCTACGGAAAAGGGAGTACTTGGTTGGCATTGATTGTTCTGTTTCAAAAACAATTGATGTAAATAACAGTAAAAAAGATAACAACATCTCAATGCACATGGATGCCGAAAGCAAAAATGCTACTTGTACAGGAATGTGATGTGTAAAAATCTATGAATTTACCTCACATAGTGCAGATGTTCGATCTTCTGTCGACTTCTTCCGCAGAGATTCTGTCTCTTTGGTTCTAACAATTTCTTTACTACCCTTGGCAGCATCAGATACACTAGCACCAACAGCCGGTTTAGTCAAGAGTTTCACCTGTATTTTAACTAGGGTTCCCACATGGCATACGAAGCACTTATCCTTGGCTCCCCTTAGGCACTTCTCATGTGCTCGTACGTGGCACTTCTCTTTATTTGAGCAACCGCGCCACTCAACAACATCTCCAGTCTGATGTTCTGGTGGCAGACCTTTCCCACACATCAAACACACTAGTGGCCGTGGTGCAGGCTTTTCCGGTTTCGGTGCCAATGCCGTTTCAAGACTCCTTCGGATCAGCTTCGGAATGTGATGAGGATGATCAAGCTTAGTAGCATCTGGTGAAGGTGTAGTGATTTCCAAAGTCTGGCTGTCTGGCGGTGCAATCTGGAAACAGTAATAAAATTTCATCGAAGATCTCGTTCTCATATATCTACTACTCGCATGAGATTTCTTGTTTCCCGAATTCAAAAAATAAAAACAAAAGGGCCACCTCTGAGCCATGAGTTCATATTATTAGTTCCATTTATACAAGATCAAGATAATTTTATTTTTTTAACTTGAAAGAAAATTCCTTCCAGGTCAAGGCGGCGGCCAACCAATTTTTTTGTGAAATCTGTGGGCTAAAGAGTCTGCAAAACTGACAAGTTACTTGACAAATAGACATTTAATTCATTCAAACCCAGTCTATAATAAATTTTCCATGCCATGGTCCCCAACTTCCAAAACTATGCCGTTGGATGCCATCAAAAGTACCCTTTGATTCAAATGACTTGGCGGCTGGAAGGCGGTGCTGACCTACTTAAGGCCGGGTAATGAGAGCACACATGCGGGAGAGACACAGACTGCGTCGCTGACGCGAGCGGCTTTAATTAGGTCGCGAGCTCCGCCTTCCAGCCGCCAAGCCAGTTCAATCGAAGGTTAGGCAGTTACTCTTCCGCAGGGTGGCACAACAGCTGGTTTGACTGCTGTAGAACACTCCGCTACCTAATCTTGTTATCGAACCGTATCCCAAAAGAAGTGGAGGAAGAGATAAACAAGGTAGGCTATATGGCGGCAAGACTGGAAACTCCACATCGCCTAAAAACCTTCCCGAAATATTCATTTCCGTAAGATCAAACAGTTTTTTGTTGAAAATACCGAACGCCAAAGAACACCGGGATATGACTGCCGTCAGAAGAATTTCGACAACACTAGCGTAACCAACATTGTCGTATAGTGGACCTTGGAATTACTTCTTGAATGAAAGACACCCATATCAATTTCGAAGGGTGCTAAGAAACCTTGCTTTTCCTCATTGCTTCGCTAGCATTATTAGCTTTTTGAAAAACAACCGCAGTTCCCTCCCCTCTCCTCCAAAAATAAGTTCCTCCATTACAGTGCTTTATAGCTGAGATCAGGTCACAAACCGTCGAACTTCTCCTAACTACGACTCGCTTGACAATTCTTCGTGGAGTTGTGTTCGCAGAATCCTCGCCAGTTGTTGAGGATCCTTTGCTTGATCCCTGCTTATCACTTGGCGACACTTGCGCATTATTCGTGATGCCCTTAAGAAAACAGCGTGATCTATAAATTTTGATACATTTTTTTTTACTACTTACTTCACTCAGCGGTCGTATAATTACCCTTTTTAGCACCCATTCCGATCCTTTTCTGGCATAGATTTTCTTGACGATGCGACCACCATCCTTCGATGTCTCGGACTCTTCTCTTTGAACATCATCAGAAGACTGTGAAGAAGACTGCGAAGCATTCTACAAAAGATATGTTTAGCAATAAAAAAAATCATCAGATGGTTAAAAGCTACATACGTCTGTAGGGGCATTCGAAGACATCGGAGTTGTAGGATTTTTCGGTCGTTCACATTTCGCAAAAAGTGGATCTGGGTTGCTAGAAGCAACAACCTACAAACTTTCTAATTACGGCTAGGATTTTTTTTGAGCCCATAATTCTATTAGAAGATAGTGCTGACGACAGATATAGCGTCCCGAAGACGACATATGCCGACAACAGTGGTGTACCCGGGACTTCCGTTTGGGGGAGAGGGAAGAGGGGCGACAAAAGTTTTTTCTTATGAGGTTGCGTAGCGTCACCCACGAAGCATTCCGAAATTTTCTGTTATGCTCCTAAAACTTTTCGTGGGTCCATAATACCGAAATTCTAGAAGAAAAGGAGCTTAGCGTTAGCCACGCCCCCGAAAAATTTTTTATAAAGCTGAAATGGATTTTTAAAAATTTCAAAACTTATTTCAATTAACTGCAAGTATAAACGAGTTACTTGCAGATTTTTATAACTCATGTAAGTAACTTCCAAAAATTTCGTGAACCATTCTCGAGTCGGTACACCGCTGGCCGACAACAACTGAGCATGGACGATTTACTAGGGGTGCAAAACTTGAAGTGCGATTTGTGACCGTTGAGCGCGCAAATTGCCGGCCTCACAAGCGTGGCAAGACATTTATGCGCAAATGTTGTCAGCAAACGTCACCGATACAGGAGTACTATATTTGCCGTCAGATTCACAATTCCGTACCTCTTGCGAACTGCCTGCGGCATCTGAAGCACCAGTTTCATCGATGACTTCCACATTTTGCTGTTTCTCTGATGCGGATTGTTCTAAGGCAGCTATTTGCGCTTTTTCCTGAGGAAGCATAGGTCGTCGTACAACCACCCGCTTCACAACCCTACGACCACCTTGGGTCGTAACGACTTGCTTCACAACTCTTCGATAATTAGACGGAAGTGGAGCAAGTAACACCCGTTTCTTAATTGCGACCTGAAGAGTATTTACACTTCCAACTAATTTTTAAAACTGCGAGTTAAGCTTACAGGAAACATAGGCTTGGCCGCTTCCCTGCGAACAACTGGCAGCGACCGAGAGGTAATGATTCTTTTAGTCTTGACAGGAAACTGTTCCAGCTCTTTTTCGCTGAGAAGACGCCATTTCTGGAATTGTGGAAAAAAATGTCTTCATAAGCACAAAGAGACTTCGGGTTGTCAGGAATGAACTCTCAAATTTTGATGCACATCTGACAGGCTAGTAGATATGACGGCATACATAGTGCACTTGCGGTGTGACATTGGGCGACAAAACCTGCGCGTGAACAAAGAGCTTGTTTGCGTGTGCAAAATGCTAAAATATAGCTATTTCTTCACGCGCAAATTTTACCACAAGGACACTTAACCACCGTCACTTCTGCTGAACTATGTAGGCACGATTTCATCAGTCTACACAAGAACTAAGAAAAAATTGTGTATCTCTAGTATGACTCACAGGCCCGCTTTCATCGAATTCTGGCCGTAATACTCTTCTCCTCGGCGCAGACGGTGGGTCGGGCGGCGGTTTGTATGGTGGATCTAGTGTTTCCGTGTCCTGCTGCGGACCAATTTCCAAAACATCATTCTGGGATTCTTCGTTGGGTCTAGTTTTCTAAGTAATCCACTTGATACAGATTTACAGTGACTTTTCATACTTACAGATGAATGAGCTTCAAGATATTCTCGTCGAAGCACTTTTCGCATAACGGGCGTTTTCTTATCTGGACTAGTCTCCGCACAATAAGTATGTCCATCCATAGACGAATCCTGCATTGGTTCTTGGCTACTCTGAATACGAGCACTTTGAAAGAAGAATAACAGTAAACTGCAACGTTATCCAGTACGTTACCTTAGGCAGACGCCAGACTTACCTGTTTAGCGGCTTCATCCACTTCGCTATTGGTCGATCAGTGACTGGCCAACAGAGATGTGGATAAAGTGGATGAGCCGACCCTTGGGGTAGGTCTGGCGCTGCCTTCTCCGCGCAGTGCAATCACACCAGTGCGGGTGAGCGCGCCTCCGGCATACAGTCTAGCGCGCTGGGACCTGCTGCATTCAGCACTGCCGACTGTGTTCCAATAAATCAAATTCGCCATTCTTCCTCCTTTTTGTAGCAACACTAGCGCTTTTTGAAAGAGATCAGAAGAAAAAGTATACAGGAAGTTTGCGACTAAGCTCTAAAGAAAAATAACAACAGAGCACTACAGTCAGCGCTATGGCATACTGTAAAAAGAGAAAAGGCAGCTTGGACGTGATTTGATTGTACTGACAAGGGAAGGAAGGTTGGTCGAAGTGGCCTTTTGAAATGTGGTGTATACTGCCTTGTAGAGCTTGGAACGCTGATTCCAAATCTACCTTTGCTATCTGCTGCGGGCTTCTGTGCGAGGAGTTATGGAGGTTTTTGTGAGTAAAAATCTGAATGCAAAAATAGGGTAAAATCAGTCGTAACCTTTTCCCAATGTTCAAATGAGGCAGCAGTGAATTGGTATGTTTGAATCAAGAATATTTGTTGCACCGAGAGTGACCCGACTACCAACTAAACCCAACAAAAAAAGTTACGACTGATTTTAGCCTACTCTTGCATTCAGATTTTTACTCACAAATACCTTCATAACTTCTCGCCCAGAAGCCCGCAGCAGATAGCAAAGGTAGATTTGGAATCAGCGTTCCAAGCTCTACAAGGCAGTGTACATCTCATTTCAAATGGCCACTTCGACCAACCTTCCTTCCCTTGTGAGTAGGGCTCTAGCACATCCGTGACAACTTGCCGAAGGACTCGCCTCAGATTCAACAGATTTGCGCAGCCTTGGCTTCTGCACCTTCACCGATGTCTTCTCTTTGTCGGGTGTAAGTATCTCGGACAACTTGCTTTCGATCGTAGAACGAATATCACGGATAACATGAGGAAGATTACTTTGCATACATGTTTGCAACATCATATGCAATTTCTGATCCAGCTAAATAAAGAATGTTGAGAATAGTCTGATTTGGAAAAGTGATGAGTTCATCAAGAGCAGGAAAACGCGGCATATGGTTTCCTGACTTTTATTGAAATCGTGAGAGATCGATATGATTTATGGCCTTTTTCTAGAAATTATGCGAAAAATCGGAGAACGCACATGTTCACTCAAAAGAAGAACTATCTGCCACAATCGCTCTGGTCCTCAAAAACATGCAAGGCATTTTTGTCAGATTTTGGTGGTGATGTACCTTGGTCCCAAGTCCCACCTTCTGAACCATGCGCTAAACCTTGAAAGTGTGCTACATAGTTTCACCAATGACGCCCACCATACTTCCAGCAGGTATCCAAAATTTAGCATATGGATTTGAAGGTTGTACTGGCGTTATGTATTGGAGGGCCTACCAAGCACCACCAAAATTTGACAAGGATATCTTGCCTACCATTGCCTTCAAGTAATGTAAGTAAATCTCACAAACTTACCCCCTGGAACTGTTCTAGTTCCTCTCTTGCTTCTTCTCGCAAGGTCACCACAGACTGTGACTGGGAATCCATTTTAACTTTCGGACGCAAGCTCTCTACAGTAACCTTTGGATGACCTTCCAGAGGACCCGACTGAGGTACCGAAGAAAACGAGTTGGACTGTGTGGAATGCGTTTGCGAATCTTCGGAGTGTGTGTCCTCCTGGTATTGTTGTTCAACATGATGACCATCATCCAAGTCGTACATATCAATGTATGAAGCGTCCTGTTGATCGGGCGATGGTCCTGGTCTAGGCTCACAAGCAGGCATTTCGCTTGCTAGGTAGTGATGAACTTGTGGAATGCGTTCGCGTGCTGGAACGAATTGTCTCACATAAGAAGTGTTAAGAACTTAGACAATCGCAAAGAATTTCCGGCGCAAACAGAAGTTCTAGAACTTCGGGGACAATTTCATTGGAGCTGCCAGGTAGGGAGGGGGGGGGGGGGAGGGGCCACGCCACCCGGCTCAATAGGAGCCCCTCCCGAAAGTTTTACAAGTTCCGTTTGCGCCGGAAGTCCTTTGCAACTGTCCGAGAAGTAAATGATATACTATATTTTTTTTGTGGATTTGACCTGTGCGCAAAGACTTCTTTGCGCCAGTACCTGCTATAGCCGTAGGTTATGGCACATACCATAACCTACGGCGGGTGTAGGCCCTTTTGAACCCTTCGCGCGCGATGCCCGTTTTGCCGCGTGCGGCGCCTCTGGCAAAGCTAACAAGTCGCATTTACAGTGAACGGGGAGAGTTCTTAGTTGAAGCATGTAATATGCCTGTGCCAAAACCTATAATCATGTTGGACACGAAAGATGTGCAAAAATGAACGAGTACTAACTTGTTATGGCAGCGGATGTTTTGACCAATCAGAGGCGCGCCGTGATAGCGAGCGGTTCAAAAGGGCCGTTTCCCCGGCTTGGGGTCCTAGCGGCCGCCTGATTCGGCCTTGCATGCTTCCGCAGACGTATTTTTAGGCATCCACTCCTGTGTGCGACTAAAAACAGGGAAGATGCCCAGAGGATACATTTGCAAACGCGGCGCCTGCGACACTGTCACTGAGACAGCCTCTACCACCCTCTCCACTGAGATTGCTTTGCAGAGTTTATTAACTACCAAGCTAACAACAATTATCAAACCAAACGTTAACGTGAATACCACGCAGCGCTACGGTAGCATTCTAATTTAGATGCAAAAGGCACAATAATAAGTGCTTTTCACCTACCTTTGTCCACAAAAGTAGCTACTGCATGAGCATGGATACATGAGACTCGATGTCCAACAACATCCGAACAATTACATTCTATCTGATTTGGACACGCACCACATCTATCGCAGTGATTGTTCTAAACAGATCACAAGTGGTATTGCTTTCTTATTGGGCAATGTCGATTGAATCGATTTTGTGCCAAGTAGGTTTATGTTGGGTCTTTATTGTCCAATGTTTCGAATAATCAGACTCTTCGGAGGCCTAAGCTCTCGTGGAGACAGTGACCCGCACGAGTGCGATGTGCGTCACAATTGTGCGGACTACCGAATCACGGTGGAATGAAGGCCTTCAAAGAAGGCATACCTGTCGAAATATCAGGCGATCAAAGATCCACCATAAAAAGGTATTCGGCGCAAAATCCAAGACTAAATTTGGCAAAAAAAGGAAAAAAGAACTCACTGTTTCACCGCAATTGCAAGGATCGCCAACTCTCACGGTATACTCATATCCATCTTCTGACTGGACTGCCCACGCATTGTCCGAAAGCTCAGTAATTGAATTCTGAAGGAGAAATTTAAAAACCGCACGTTCAGAAGCGGTAAAACTTGGACCTACTAGTCTGTAGGTGTAATAAAGCAAGGCGTCCTTGTGTCGCCGATGAGTCTGCCAACGTCTGAATTTCTGCGTTGCAGTCCGTTGTGGCTTCGTGACACCGACTTTGTGGCCGAGGTGTCCCAGACAACCACGATAGCTTACACTACCATCCGGATTCTCGATTGCCTGTAATTGTGAACTCACTGAAGTTCTATTGAAACACCCACTTACTTTCAAGCCTTTTTCCATCTAACTCCCTTTTTATAAGCTTGTTGGTATTGGGTGGCAATCAAAATGCTTAGCAGATAAGGTAGGTGCCAGAGCGAAGGTAGGTGCCACAGTAAGCGAATATTTTGTTCAGCTGCAAAAGGCGCACAGAATTAACGCTAGTTCTGCGCGATACCTGCAGCTGAAATTCTACATTTTAATTTTATATTTTATCAAAAATAAAATTTTCTATAAATGATATGCGATACCCAATAATAAAAAATGCAGGCCTTAGCAGCAGGAGATTATGCGGCTCCACGTCAGGAGTCACGCCGCGCGCCGCGCCGCTTCGCCGCGCACGTCGCGTCTAAATTTTGTACCCCATAAAACTGCCCGGAGCTAAAGTGGCACGGCGCCAGTCTAGGGGGGTGGGGGGTGGGGGCAGATACATGGCTCGTGCCATAAGTAAGACTGCGCCAGGAGTGCTAGCTTCTGTTTTGGTGACATCGCTTGCGGCATCGCTTCGCGAAAAATTCGCGCCGACCGTGACTCCTGACCGTTCCCCAGATTATGCAGCAGACATTAATTCTGCGCGCCTTCTGCAGCTGAACGAAGATGAACAAAATATTCGCTTACTCTGGCACTTACCGAATGTTTTGTTCAGCTGCAAAAAGTGCACAGAATTTACGTTAATTCTGCGCGGACCTGCAGCTGAAGCAGGCAATTGAGTGCAGAATTAACGTTAATTCTGTGCGCCTGTTGCAGCTGAACAGAATAGTCGCTTAGGTAGGTGCCAGAGTAAGCGAATATTTTGTTCAGCTTCGTTCAGCTGCAAAAGGCGCACAGAATTAACGCTAGTTCTGCGCGATACCTGCAGGTGAAATCCTACCTTTTGATTTTATATTTTATTAAAAATAAAATTTTCTTTAATTGATATGCAATCTTATATATAAAGCTGAATGTCTGTTTGTATGTATGTATCGTCGACTCTAAAAATCGTGACGACGATCTGCAGTGCGGCCAGTGCGCGCCGCACGGCACTGCCACCTAGTGAGTCGCCCAAATTACGTGGAGAAGGTGAGTTCTTGTGGTTTTTCTTTTTCTTTTTGCATCTTTTTTGCTTGCAGGAACTTTCATGGCTACCGCAGGGAGCCTACACTGCAGAGAAGCAAGATTGCCCTACGATAAAGCGGCAGTGCCGTGCGGCGCGCACTGGCCGCACTGCAGACCGGATTTCAGGATTATCGATTACTTTTATCGATTTTATCGATTTTTTTGCAAAGTTCGAGCTAGGGGGCTGGGAGTTGGCACAGGGGGTAATCGAGCATGCTGATCATCCCCAAGGGGGGTGATCAGCATGCTCGATTACACCCCTGTGCCAAATTCCAGCCCCCTAGAAAATTTTCAAAAAATCGATAAAATCGATAAAAGTAATGGACGATCTTGAAAACTATATTGTATTCGTAATCTGCATGCTCGATTACCCCCCTGTGCAAACTCCCAGCCCCGCAGGTCAAACTTTACAAAAAAAATCGATAAAATCGATAAAAGTAATGGACGATCCTGAAAACTAATATTGTGTTCGTAATCAGCATGCTCGATTACCCCCCTGTGCAAAATCCCAGCCTCGCATGTCAAAATTTACAAAAAATCGATAAAATCAAAAAAAGTAATCGATAATTCTGAAAACTAATATTGTATTCGGAATCCCCATGCTCACTTCCCCCCCCCCCTGTGCCAACTCCTAGCCCTGTAGGTGAACTCTGCAGAAAAATCGATAAAAATCGGTAAAATCGACATCGATCGATAACGAAAAGTGGACTGTGACACCCGCCGGGGCCCGAAGTGTATGTGTGCCAAGTTTGGTCCGGATACGGCGGAGCCGGGTAAGCCAGCTAGTACCCAATAATAAAAAATGCAGGCCTTAGCAGCAGGAGACATTATGCAGCAGACTTTAATTCTGCGCGCCTTCTGCAGCTGAACGAAGCTGAACAAAATATTCGCTTACTCTGGCACCTACCTTAGTCTGGGTATGGGTCAAGAGTCACGATTTTTCGCGAAGCGACGCGGCAACACAAAGTCAGGCAGTACAGACCTCAGCCCCGGTCAGTACTCCTGGTGCAGTGGTACTTATAGCTTCGAGTCATGTACAGGGCTTATCAAATTAAGTGTCGTTTGCACCAGCATCTAGATACATCTTCGCACTGGACTCTGCGTCTCTTCTGCGGAACATGCTCCCTAAATCGCTTCCAATCGCCGCCTTTCTCACGCTCGCCCTGGGAAAGTGCTCAGAGAGCATGTCCCGCGGAAGAGACGCAGAGTCCAGCGCGAAGATGGCGACGCTGGTGCAAACGACACTCAATCTGATAAGCCCTATATCTGTCCCACCCCCACCCCCCTACCCTGGCGCCGTGCCACTTTAGCACCGGAGAGTTTTAGCGAGGCCAAAATTTGGGCGTGGCGAGAGGCCGCTGCGCACGGTGTGACTCCTGACCCGGAGCCGCTTACAGCAAGTTCCAGCTCAGTTTAGGCGGAAAGGATTGGCGGGAGCCCCCTTCGCAACGATTCGCGCCGTTTTGCAGTCTGCGTCTCTTCATTCTAATCTATCTCGCTGAGCCAGTGGCGGTGCTCCACTTGGAATATTGGCCTACTCCGGGTTGAAAAAGACTGTAGTCTGGCGCCTACCTAACACTTTCGTAGTGCTGTTGCTCTGCAGCTGCAGCTAACATTTGAGCGAGAACAACGAGATGTACGCTCCGTGGCCATTTTCTACGCGCTATTCGCAAGCAATGCGGAGTCATTCGCAGTAGTATGGCGTATGTTTTCGTAAAAGCTGTCGTGAATGCCACAATATTGGCAATTCATAACACGCGCCGTTGCGTCCGACTAACAATAAGATGCATGGGAGAGACAGCAGATGGTCAGAGAAACGAGACGACGCTTGATCAAAGAGATGCCGATACGTCCGCAGTCTTTGCATGCGATGAATTGCCTATATCCCAGCTTATGCCAGCTAACTTTGATTCAACTAGCTTGGCGGCTGGAAGGTGGAGCTTTGTGACCTAATTAAGACCGCTCGCGCCCGTGACGCAGTCTGTGTCTCTCTCGCGCGCATGTTTTCTGATTATTATCTAGCCTTGATTAGGTTACGAAGCCCCGCCTTCCAGTCGCCAAGCCAGTTGAATCAAAGACTTGGGGATCAGTTTTTCCTCGGAACTTCAATCCCAAAGATAGCCTTTGACACCGAAAATACTTCTCAATAATTGAAATGGTCTCTGAAAATTTTCAAAATTCAATTAAGCTTTGTGAGAAAAACTTCTCGGTTATTCCAGAATTTCGGAATGGCCCGCAAGAGATTTGAAAAGTACGACGAAAGTTTTTCTAAAGTGTACTAAGGCCACGCACCCCATCCCAGAAAAATCTCCCCCCCCCCCCTCCCGTCAACACGTTGGTGCATGTTGCCAACATGTTAGCCATACGTGTTCAGGTCAGAGACACGGACCAAAGGTAGCAGCAAATGTGGAAGGGACGATACTTCTAGTGATTTATTAGGTTGATGTAAAAATAATGGCCGAGTACCAAAGGTAGCAGCAAATGTGGAAGGGACGATACTTCTAGTGATTTATTAGGTTGATGTAAAAATAATGGCCGAGGACCAAAGGTAGCAGCAAATGTGGAAGGGACGATATTTCTAGTGATTTATTAGCTTAATGTAAAAATAATGGCCGATATTCCAAGCCTTTTTTCAGGCCAACTTTCCATCAAAATTTCTTCTTTGGAACATTTGGCACCACTGCAAAGCTATTTTCATGCTCTATGTAATGCTGGTTGGAGCACGTTCCACCTCCATCTGTTGTAAAGTTAGTGAGCTTCAAATAACCGCATCTAAATTCGGAATTATATTAATTCACTTTTCTGGCCAGAATCCGAGCGCGTTTTTTTTTCGAAAATTTAGCTATTGTACGACACAGAAATTGTCTAGATCATGCGTACTTGACTGTAAGTTTTGAGGTTATCCAGACTGAAATATCGGCTTCTCAAAATGGGTAGCCGTTGCGGTCATTTTATGCTCCGTAAATTTCGAAAGAAGTCATTCGCCAAAGCTTTGCTCAGTTCTGTAATCGTAATGCTAGTGCATCTTATTAGAAGTTTTTGCAGAAGACATTCATGTTCATTACGCAGAAAAATAGAAAATCTATATTCGAGACTTTGAGGCATACTGGAAAAATGTCAAAAAACTGACAATTTTAAATTTTAGTTTTTTTGTCCTTTTCGCAAATTTGCTTCTCCAAACCTTCTCCACGATAATTTGTACTATTGGCTTGCGATTACAAAATAGGCCACTTGTCATTCAAGCTAACTAATTTTGAGGGAAGTCATGAAATGTCAAGGACAAGGCTGTAGAAAAGAACTTCTTATTTTTTAACCCATCTTTTTCTGCCCGTTTGTGATATGGCTATAAAAGGTGCGCTGTATTGCAAAAGGTTTACTGCTTCTGATGTTTTACCGCATTCAGAAATGTGAATTTTCCAAAAAGTTCTAACACGTCGAAGAGAGTATTCGCAAATTGGCCATTATTTTTGCATCAACCCAATAATTATCAGCTAATCAATATATTGATTTTTCGGTTGCAAAGCGCTACATTCATGTCCTCCATATTTCAGCGCCAGAATACCCGCTTCCATTCTACAAGAATTTACGTGCAAGTTCTCCCAGAAGTTCGCCGCAGATCTATACTCTTTCTTCTCATTGTCTGAGAACGAATTTTTGTAAGGCCTCGGATAGAGTTCACGCGATTTGATCGTCGCGATTGATCGCGACAAGACAACCGTAACAATATCATTACATGCCGATCCTGCTACATTCCGGTTGTGATAATTTCTCGACACGACTAATCCTGATTAACCATCACAGCCGAGATGGAAAGCGATCAACATGCAAATGGACCCGTAACAGTTGTCTCATCAGGAGAATCACGAGGCGAGGAAGTCTCATGAAGTAGCCCGAGGCCTAAAACCAAAACCGGAAGTGTACGTGGACAGAGCGAACTTCTGCGATAAATCGCATATGTATACATTTGACATGAAAACGGGTTCGCGCTGCTTGGAAAATACGAACGCGCGGCAGTGCACCGAGAAAATCGATATATCGATCAGCCACTGATTGCGAATCACGATGGCTACAGCTGCAGTCTGCAAACTATTAACCGTTTGCTGTCTGCCTAAGCAGCCGCAAGAAAACTCTAGACTCTCCTAAGGCTTCTATCCCCGCCTTTTGTAGATCCTCCCCCCCCCCTCCCCCTCCGAGGACCTAATGTTTCTGACGCAGACAATGTAAGGGAACGGCCATAGGTTGTCGGTGTTGTCGGTGTTGTCGATGTTGTCGGTGTTGTCGGTGTTGTCGGTGTTGTCGATGTTGTCGGTGTTGTCGATGTTGTCGATGTTGTCGGTGTTGTCGATGTTGTCGGTGTTGTCGGTGTTGTCGGGGTCAGAGACAGTTTAGAGAGCGCGCGAAAGTGGAGGCTATCATGAGGTCACAACGACCGGCAACCTCGGCAAACCCGACAACCCCGACAACACCGACAACATCGACAACATCGACAACACCGACAACACCGACAACATCGACAACACCGACAACACCGACAACCTATGGCCGTTCCCATAGACCCATAGCCGTTCTATACCATCAGTGCATCGTTTGAAACCTTCGATATATCCCACGCCTGGTACCTAACGAATCTCACTCTTTCGCCGTTACCATTCATTATCGTACTATTTGTGTAAAAACCCACCCTTATAAAGGCCGGACAATGTGAACAGACTCGATCACTTTTCTTGAATCGTTGTCTAAGTTCCCTCGGATCTACTTCTGCGCCTTTGCCTCTGGCATGTCGGCAGCTAAAGATATGGTTGCGTCCATCTTTGCACAATCTGGAAGTTCTCTTAGTGAATCCAACTTTTGTCAGCTTCTCCACAGAGTCGATCCAAGCCTGAATTAAAGATTTCATAGAGACGAATTCCGTTGGGACTATGAACGTGTTCTTCGATTGCAAATGACTGGTGAGTTACGCCCTCCGTGTTGATCAGCCAATCACAGGCCTGCAAAGCCACGCCCACAGGCACAGTACTCACTTCGAAGTCTTCATGGGATGGAAATACGCCTTCAATCATAGCGAAATCTTGTCCACCTTGCTGTCGATGCATTTCATTGCAGTGTACTGCCAATTCTTCTCCTGTTCGGAAAACTTCAGAACAGGCAGGACATGTGACAGGGAAATAATTCGAATTGTGCTGTACTGCTTCACCATGCGCTCTCTAGAACGAGAAACTTCATTAGGGAAATATTTAGGAACATCTTGAAGATTTCTTACTTCTCTATGTACTCGCAAGCCATGAATGGAAAAATAGATTTTTCCGCATTCACATTCGACACTTTGCCTTCCATTGTATTTTGTGCTCTTGATTGTCAATTTCAATTCATCTATTTTATCCTTTTTCCACCAATGAACAAATCTCAAATGGTCGTAGAGATTTCCTAACTGATATGGGCCTCGCTGACAAGCGGGACATCTAGCCCGTGTTCGAGGCATCTGAAAATACTAACAATAAGAATAAGAACATGACCAGCATAGTGCTTCAGCTTCGACGGTAACAAGGTAAATATAGATGTCAATAAGTTCTACTGTAAACCGAAAGTATGTGATCCACGAAAACGTTTTTTGTTCTTGGAAGAATTGAACGTGAGCTTGTTGGCCGTACCTCTAGTTTTCAAAGCATTATATGTAGAATAAAAATGAAAATAATCGAATCATTTCAAATTTAATGAATATCTGGCACCAATCTCAATTGTTTTATGTTATTTTATTCCTAGAAACTATCAAAAACATTGCATTTTTATGTGTAAAGTCAAATAGAAAAATAAGTCCCCAAAGTACAACGATAGTTCGAAAAACGCTGGCTGCGTCGGCTTTCTCAAACAATCTTTTTTCTTTCTAATCTTCTCCTCAAAAATTTGAGAATTATGGCACGTACATATGGTGTTCAGCTTATATTTGCAAAGAGAGCGAAGGGATCATCGCAGATTTTTTGGTGGAAACTGTGAAGTCAGTCATAGAAAAATTAGGAATCATAGAAAATACATACAAAAATTTGGAAACAATTTTTTGCAGTATGATAATAAGTTTTGGCAAATTTCTGGCGCACCATTTCCCCCAGCCTGAAATTCTTTAAAAAGCTGGTCTTATTTTTATGTAGCTCAATTTATTGAAAAAAAAAAAGAAATTCATCTGCATAATTTTTTTTGAGTCATGGGAGAACACAAAAACTCTACGACTCACTCCCGGCAGGAAGACCCCCTCCCGTATCCCTAGCTCCATGTACCAATTACCTACCCAGGTTGCTCATCTGTGGCCGTATTCATCAACGAAACCCGTGGGTTCCGGAACCCAAGGTTAGTGCTTTTGATGAATATCGATTCTACTCCAGGGAAGAATCGATATTCATCAAAAGCACTAACCCAGTGGGTTCCAGAACCCACGGGTTTCGTTGATGAATACGGCCACTGGTCAGTCGGCTGGCACAGTGCAGTTATGGATTTGCAGCAACTAAACACTTGCAAAAGTTCCCCCTTAAGATATTGGCACAGCGCCGTATGTGCGCGCAAAAGCATCGCACATTTTGCCAGCAAGAGACTGTAGAGGATGTATAGAGGACAGACATGGTCTCGCCACGATAACCCATAGCGGCTCGCGAATGTGAAGCTAGTCTTGAACCACGCGAACCATACCTATCTTGAACGGACCTACTAGTACAAATTGTATCGTGCATCCCCCAAAATTGCTCCCATATGAACCATCAACGTGTCTGCCTTTCTATCGCTTAAAGAGGTTAATTCCAGCAAATTTGAGGCGCTTATTCGAAGCTGACATATTAAAATGATCGAAAGACAGCCACGTTGATGGTTCGAATTGGAACAGTTCTGGGGGATGACCATACCAGATGCAAGTTTGCGCTATCACTTACTACTTTAATTTTTTGGCTGTACGCAGTTTCTTCAGCGCTTATTATAACTTATCATTTTATTGGTAAAACTCCGCCTTATATTCAAGTCAATCACAGACTTTTCTAATTGTTTTGAGTTTACCAGCTACAGAAACTTTTTTTGAGCGCCCTTGTGCCGTCTGAATGTCGGGTCTCGAAGCCTATCGCCGCTGCTCGTAAACGCCTTTAGAGCGCGGTGACTATCGACTGTCAATTGTCGGCGGTCATAAATCTACAAGAACAACCAAGAAATCAAGCAATAACCGCAACTTGAGACCAAAGATATTTTTGAACACCGCTGTAAATGGTATTAAAAGACATGTTTTTCCGCGAGATTCCAAGTAGGAAATTATGCGCTGAAGCACAAATATGAACTTGTTAGTTCAAACGTAAAAGCTTTCTCGAATATTCTGGTCTTAGAATGGATAATATGTTGATAATGTATGCACCATCAATTAGTTAACCTTAAAGTGCACGGTTTAGCGTATTACTCTCCAACGATGTAAATATGTCGAGAAAGTAAAATTTTGTCAAAAATTGTCAACTTTTTACTTTCATGAAGGTCGGAGACTTAATTTGGAAATCCAAGTCAATGATCATTTTATTCAGGCAGAATATGACAATCTCGCCTAAGCAGAGAATTCCGCGCTCTATAGCTAATTATCAGTCTTTTGGACGAGGGGCGTAGAGATTAGTTCGGGCACAGATTTTACTGCTGAGGATTGACTGTCATTGCGTAGTATATCGCAAGCCAGTATCGGTCATGTTCTATTCTACAGCTTGCGTATAGAAAAGTTTGAAAGTCAAAGATGGCGGATTTTTGCACATCCCCTCCTCTGAGAGGGCACCAGGCTAGGTAATACCATCCGCACAAAATTACTTCAGTGAGAAAGCATTAACTGAAGGGAGAAGTCATAATGCTGCCTTTGCAAGGTTGCCCTTTGCACTGACGTCACCAACAACGATAGGCGCGACGCAACCGCCACGCGGGCATCGTTGCCGTGCTCTCTACCAATCTCGTCGGTGCTGGGTAGATAAGGGGAGCTATTACTTAGCGTGAAAGATATGAGAGGGGAAGGAGCCCAGATATCGGCATTTTGAGTAGATGTATCCCACCTAGAGTAAAGGAGTGAGGAGTTCAGGGTTACGACACCGGTGAAGGTTAGCAAAGGCACTTTCAGGACTCTCAGGATTCTCAGGGTCAGGACCCCCCTCTCTGCTCTCCTATCGCAGATTGGCCATTTTATTCCAGGATTATACGGCTCCAACATGTGGTCTTGGGTGCAAAGGGTCACTCCCTACATTAGTTTTCACTTATTAGAGGTGACCAGCCGCCACAAGCTGAAGCAGGTGTAACCCTATGAGGTTAAGCTATGCCTAATCAACTTCTGAGCTACCTAGGACATCTTATGCGCTTCCAAAACTGCCCAAAATTTGACAAATGTCCCGGCAAAAAATAGTCGGTTGGAAGATTCTCGAGTTTCGCTGACATAACTGCTGTTTTACATTAAAAGAAACAGATTCTGGGACTTCTGAAGGAAGAAACTCATCAGAACTTGTAGAATTCAAAGAATGAACTATGCAAACACAGAGGCGAAGAACAACTCTGCATCAGTTTCTGACGCCCGAGGATGAATTACGCGAACACGCGCTGCTGCTGTCCACGCAAGCGTGCGCAGCGGCCACTCGCCTTCTTGTGCACGTTTGCGTAATGCGTTGAACCCGTGGACGTCTACCGTATGGTGAAAATTTTTCCGTGGCCACACAGCATGATTTTGTTCATAACGTGCACTTGTTCATTTTTCATGACGTGGGAGATTTGCATTTGTTTCGTTGTCATACTTGTAGCAGTACGCTTGTATTGATGTTATTGGACGAGTTTCTGTTTTTCATCTATTTTGAAAGTCATTATCTCTCAGTAATTTACGCTTGAAAAGATGCCTTTGAATGACATTTAATGCTTCCACTCCACAGCTTTGTCTCTTTCAGTCTCGCAATCTACACTTTTGTTAATTACTGCAAAAAATTATGTCCGCTACCATCGTTGAAGCCTGTTAACAATTTTTCGGTTTCTTTCACTAAATAGTTCTGTATGAGGTATACAGTTTCAGTTATTCACCAACTCTTGCCTGCAGATTGATTCGTCGAAATCTTACGGATCATTGCGGAAGTTTGATCATTACCACCTTGTGACTAGGAGACTTGAGACCCATACCCCTTTGCACGCATTGTCTTTGCAAGCTTGCTGTTTTTTCCTGTGTCCAAGTAGCGAATAGTCTCGAGATAGTTCACTTGTACAGACTTCTTAACGACACAATGAAGCTCGCTCTGGCCCCGGCCAGACTTTGCTCAAAAGTGTCCAAAAGCGCTCTTATACCTCCGTTACACTCTGGTATAAATACCGTTTTGAACAATTGATCAACGACCGGGGCTGTGAGCTCAAATTTCTCCAACATCTTCTCAGTTTCTCTCATCTCTCCTCACACGAGAAAGTGAAGAGACATTAGAGAAATTTGGGCGGGGGCAGAATCAAATAAATTTTCACATGGCTAATTTGAATTTTTAAAAATTTTAAGAATTATTTTATTCATATAGAAGAATAAACAAGTTGCTTGCATAAAATAAATTGCGGTTATTTTTGAATTGCGCTCACTATCACGTTTTTAATCTGGGACTTTGAGCAACAAGAGAAGTACTGTGTCTTTGTTTTGTTCGACGGACAATTTCTCAAACATAGCATTTGTTCCCAACGTGCAAACATTCTGTGGTTTGTTACGTTTCAGCATATCTGCAAATGCAAATTGAACATTCTAGACTATGGTTATCGAGTTCGACGATCTGCCTCCTGAGCTAGTAATAGCTATTCTATCGCGGCTCACTTATCCTGATCTTTGCAATTGCTTGACGCTCAATAAAAAGGTGCTCACAATCATCAATGAGAACCTTCACTCGATTCCTCGTATGTGGATCACCAACATCTCGCTTGTGAGAGAAGAGGTAAGCTATTTTTCACATTTTTTTGGCATTGTCATCGTGTTTTCAAACTTCATCTTCATCACAACAGCGGTTTTTTTGCTTTTTTCTTCCACCAATTTGTTATTTTACTGTCATTGTTGTCCTTTTGCTATTATTTTAGTACAATATACATCCCATTCTGAGTTACTTTCATAGTTGCCGCGTCGCTACTGCACGCAGCCATAATCATGCCATATGCGTTCCTTTTTTGACAACATTATCTCTTCGATCCACCTTGCTTTCTCTTTTTGCAAGTTGACCTGGAGCTAGCCATGTGGAACATAGACGCACTTTTAGTGTAGATTGCTTTCTCATGTTTTCATACCTGCATCTTAAAAGTGTATTTAGAGGTCCTCCTTCAAACTGTCGGTCTCGCGAAATTCATTCAAGAGTCCTAAGAAAAATTGGATGTGCTCATTGAAAGAAACAACGGAAAATCCAGCGAAGAAGACTCGTTCGTCTTACGATATCACTGATTTCTACAACAATGAAGGTATGCTTTTGTTTACCGCTCGGGGTTTTTTTTCGTTGAATGTACGCAAAATTGCTTACATTGTTTACACTTTCAATTTGATACTTACCCTTAAGGATTCTGCGGTCTGAAGTGGGATAAAGCTAACAAGTCAACGGAGTTTGTGGTCCCATCCATACAAAACTCCTTACAAGAGCACCTCGGTTTTGTCTTGCGGAAGTCAAATGTTTTGTGTCTCAAGTTGGTAGGGTTGTTTTATTACAAAGCTTAAATTGCTTTTTACATTCAACGTACATTTTCAGGTTGATCTCAACGCTGAGGATATGGAAGTGGTTACTAGTGTTTTGCATAGTTCCAAAGCACGAGTAAGCCATATGCAATTGGTTCTGGATAGAGTTATGACTCCAGAAATCGTGTCTATCATAGATGCTACAGGTAAGCTCTTCCGAGTCGTATTTTTTCAAGGGAGTCACCTCTTCAGGCGCTGAAACGGTAGACGTGGTTATGGCGGAAAATGACTTTTTCAGCAATTTACCTTTCAAGAGCCGAGTATTCCGAAAGGTACAAGTTTTATTACTTGAAAGATTCTGTTAGTGTTTTTCGATCTCAATATGATTGACACGTTCCTATCATTATTTTTCATTCACTTCATTCTGTCATTTGTGGGATCGTAAATTTTTACTTTCAGGCATGGTCTGTGACGATAAGAACATCGAAGGAGGATTCTTCGGACGTGTTTGATATCAGTGATGACGATCTCCTGTCATTAGGCGCCGATTCTATAGAATTTTTCGGACTGACTAAGATCACCGTGCGTGGAGCTAGGAAGCTTATTCAGGTATATGTCGTCACATTATTGTGTTTGACGTTCTGGAGTAACGTTCCTTCTTTTTATTGTGTTATCACAGTTTCAGCATTGTTCTTTTTTAATTCTGTCTCATTTTATGTGATTTTTTATCAGATAATTTTTTACTGCAGGAATGGCTGGCAGGCAAGAGAAAAATATCGTTAGTTTATTTTCGGCATCTAGAGGAATTTGATCCTACAGTGCTACTCCGAAAAATTCCGCACAAGGTTAGCTGTCTTTCTTTTCTTTTCTTTTTTATGTTTATCTCCATCATCATTTTGATTTATTCATATATTTCTCGATTTGCGCTTACCCAAAACATTGGGGCAATACAACGTTATTTTTTGCCTTCCCCCTTCGCCTCCCCCTTCCTGTGCCGTCGCTCCCATCCATACTCGGGCGTTGTGCACTTATTTTATGTGCAGCACATCGATATGCGGCAAAATGCAGACAAACCAAGATTCATCGAAATGATTTGTCCCCTGGGAATTTTTTAGAAGACTTGCTTTACTTTTGAATGTGACCTTTGATGCTATGATTGATGAAGGTGTACTGCTGGATACTTTCGAGCATTGACTAAACATGCTCTCCTTCTCTTTTTGTGTGTTTGGGGTTTTTTGGTACCTCTTTTTATTTCAAGCTTCTTCTGACGCGTAAATAATTGCTATTCGATTTGTAGAAGTGGCCGCTTTCCAAAGAATTTATATTCAACTTTTGAAATTTTTTCATCACTTAGATTACCACTTTGAATGCACGCGATTTCCAGGGTAACGTCCCGCCGGTGGTCGTAACTCGTTCCGACGGGGAAGAGCTTCGTGTGGCGTGGGACGCGGTAAAATTTCGCTGCTTTGCTGACGAAGCTGACGACGAGGGCGATGATGAGTTTCCTGAAGATTTGTAACAATGCTTCTTCTTAGCCTGTCCTTTCTCTTGTCACTGCAAGTGACAGTGCATCAGTTAGTTCATCTAGTCTGTCTAGGTTGTTATGGTCCTCTAAGGCATATTCATATTTCTAATCGAGCTTACACTTTTAATTGATTGCTAGTAATATTTGTACGTATAGACTTGAAAGTAGTTTTCACAGCAGCGTATGTCTGGATCTAATCGACCATTTCACTACCACGGTTCTCCGCTCCAACGGTTATTAGCTAATCTTCTTTGGTTTTTTCACTAGTTGTCGAAATGGGTTTCTATAATCTTTACGTAGTTTTCTCAATAAATGTTGCCTTTATTGCAAATTTTGTCTCAGAATTGTGTGCTATGCGCACAGATATTGTGTTTTACATATCGTAGTGCAAGGAAGAGCACATTGAGCGCTGTCTTGTTATGTTTAATGGCACAATTGCATCTCTCAATGGAATTCTGGGTGTGTGCGCTCGTTACATAATCGAATGCTGCTTCTATAGCATTGATGCTGATATGTGTGCCCGTCAGTCTTTTGCATTTTCTAAAATTTTAAGGTTCCGTTTTTCTTATTCGATTTCCAGCCTCAACATGATATTTGATCCTTTCTTCTTTCATTTTGAAATCATTTTGTGACATACTGCGTTAACTGAAGCGCTGATATGACCTCGGGCCATGAAGCTCGAATTGAAATTATGAGATGAATCTCGTTGTGATGTGCTTAAAGGAGACTGCAATCATAATATTCTTTCTTGTATCTCATTCTGAGGACCTAAATTTGACGTGGGTGTGAAAGGATTATCGTGAGACACTTAATCATTAGGTTCAGATTATGGGGACATCTTTTACCTTTAATTCCTGTACATAATGTCATCGAGTTAATTCTAGAATCACTTATTCAATTATCATGCAGGAATCTGGATCGAATATTGCTGCGAGATAATTAATGAGTATAAGACAGCTGCCTATCCTTCGTTTTTCAGCGATAAACTTAACTTCTTAGATTCCTTGATTGAAAGACAAATTCGGTCGGGAAGCCCCACCTTTCAACCTTTTATTATAGCTAATTAGATAATATCGTCGATTCCTTGACCGCACCGACTGCACATCATTGCGGAGCATGCGCCGCGGGTTAAAACGCTTGCCCCAGTACAAATTCGTCGTGGTAAAAGTCGCGCTCTCGCAACACTTCAGCCGCGCCGCGCGTGGTCCGTAGCGTTTGAGGAGTCCGTGCGGTCAACGAATCAGACTTCTCTGCTAAAAAGAGCAGATAAAGACGGTCATTCATTCTGGTGTAAGACCTAGAAGAAAGTGCGCTTTTGATACGTGTGACTAAATGCAATTCAGTGCATGATACTTCACTGGTTTTACTTTCTGAAGCTAGAGGAGCAATAAATTCGACTCGGTAGACTACTTCCGCATAGCTTTCGGGGTTTCTGCTAATTTCGCAGTATATGACAGACCGCTATCTCTTTCTCTGCTCTTTTTAGCAAAGAAGTCCAATTTTCGTTGTTAGCGTCAGTTCGAAGGCAAGAGCTTTACGTCCGCGCTATGGCGGAAAGAGTTTGCCTCTGTTTGCGCATATCCGCGACTGCGGAGGAAGAAAGCGGGATTCACATAGACTGAGAAATTTGTGTTTCTCCTCTTTAGCGTTACTTCAAAAAGGAGAGGAAAACAAGTTCAGACTGCTAGATTGTTATCTCCCCTAGTCAATGAGTTATTAAATTGTGTGCTTTTATGTGAGATTAGAACTGTTGAGCACCTTGTGAGACAACAAATGTTACAGACCGCAGAAGCGCTGTAGAAGGTGACGATTAATCAAAAATAGCCGGCTTACTGTACATGAAGCCACAAATGGACTGTCACTTAGAGGCAGTGGATCGGCAAAGTGGACCCTTCTCGGGGTAAAGGTAGTAGATCCAAGTACATTCTAGTCGAAACCCCGCCTGCCAATTCATGCGCTAACAAGGGAGGTCCGCTTGGTCGAAGCGGCCTTTTTACATGAAATTGATACGACTATAAAGAGCATTAAACGCTGATTCCAAATCTGTCTTCATCTGCCGAGCGCCTCTGGACGTCGAGTTATGAACGTTTTTTGAGTTGAAAGTTGAGTGCATAATTGGCACAAAATTTGCCAGAATTGCTCAAATGGTCCAATGTTGATTATCAGAACACTCCTTTTGAACAATACCTTTTGTCCAAAACACTCATACTAAACGCTGCTCTGTCTGAGCGCTGAAAAGACCGTAAAATTTGATTTTACCAAGATTATGTGATCATTTCTCGGACCAAGAAAATATTTCATAACTCGGCATGCAGAGGCGCTCGGCAGATATTGAAAGCAGAATGGAATCGCCGTTTAATGCTCTTCAAAGTGACATAAGATTCATTTGAAAAAGCCACTTCGACTAATCGGACCTCCCTTGTAAGTCCTGAAAAACATAGGTGCGATAAGGTGAGAATGACCTCTCCAGGGTGAAGGGGGTCACGGTGGTCGCAGCCCCTCCAGGGTGAAGGGGGTCAGAGGGGGCGCGGGGGGGGGGGGTGAGTGCGTGTGTGAATGTGGGTGTGCAATTACACACAACGCGCCGCCAGGAACGGCATCGTTCCTTTCACAACCTCATTTTATGAGGACCGATTTTATAAACGGTCTGAAAAAGTGAGTGTGGTCAAAATTATTGGATGGTACACAAGTGCAAAACTGAGGTTTTTGCAGGCGTAATGTTCGAGAAGGAAAGGTTATACAACGCTTGCCATTTGCTTCATACGAATATGGGATGAAGGACCGGACCGACCGATGACTATATTCTTGTCTTAATGTTGCCGTTTCATGCTTTGTAATTTAATGAAAATATTGAAAGATGACGACTATCAACTATTGTGAGGCCATCAGAAGTTGTAATAGAAAGTGGTTCTGAGAAGTGTGATGATAGGAAGTATCAAAAATTATGAATGATGAAGCACGTAGATTGAAGTAAAATATTGTCTGCCCAGGAAACTCTGAAAGATACAGTAAAATTATTGCATGTATAAATGGCCATTCTTGGTAAATGTGCACGTAAATGATAAGAAGGAAACACACGGGAGCAGGACTGGAACCTTCTCGTTATCTTCTAAAGAAGGCATTGGATGACAATGGAAGAAACAAGGACAGGAAAATCGGAACGCCTGACTGCCACGAAAAATTTATTCCGCTGAAGACTACTGGACACTGCGTAATACTAAACTTGTTAAATTCGGCAATTGGAAAAATTAGGGTTGTTGAAACAAAGTGAGGTTGTAACTACTTCTTGCTTAAATTTAGATTTAGCATAGGAGATATTTGTACGAAAATTGTTTGTGTATCGGAAAGGAGGGAGAAGATTTATAGGCAAGATTTGAAAAAATTCAATTAAAAATTCATAACGTTTGTAGATGAACAGCTAGTACAAGGAAATGCTCACCATTGAAACCGTTTCTTCCTCTGCTTTCAGAAAATATATAGTTTGTCTGGGATCCGTTGAAAAAAGTGCGTGGTGAAGGGGGTGCCTAGTGATTTTTGGAGATTTTCGAGTTTTCAACATAAAAAAATTCATAACTTCTGTAGATGAACAGCTAGTACAAGGAGATGCTCACCATTAGAACCGTCTCATTCTCCGCTTTCAGAAAATATATAGTTTGTAAGGGATCCCTTGCAAAAAGTGCTTGGTGAAGGGGGGGTGAGAATTTTATAACGGGAGTTCTCAGGTAGACGTCTTTTTACAATGGTGAAAAGGCCTCTGCCTGAGAACTCCCGTTATAAAATTCTCACCCCCCCTTCACCAGGCACTTTTTGCAAGGGATCCCTTACAAACTATATATTTTCTGAAAGCGGAGAATGAGACGGTTCTAATGGTGAGCATCTCCTTGTACTAGCTGTTCATCTACAGAAGTTATGAATTTTTTTATGTTGAAAACTCGAAAATCTCCAAAAATCACTAGACACCCCCTTCACCACGCACTTTTTTCAACGGATCCCAGACAAACTATATATTTTCTGAAAGCAGAGGAAGAAACGGTTTCAATGGTGAGCATTTCCTTGTACTAGCTGTTCATCTACAAACGTTATGAATTTTTAATTGAATTTTTTTAAATTTTGCCTATAAATCTTCTCCCTCCTTTCCGATACACAAACAATTTTCGTACAAATATCTCCTATCCTAAATCTAAATTTAAACAAGAAGTAGTTACTCACTTTGTTTCAACAACCCTAATTTTTCCAATTGCCGAATTTAACAAGTTCAGTATTACGCAGTGTCCAGTAGTCTTCAGCGGAATAAATTTTTCGTGGCAGTCAGGCGTTCCGATTTTCCTGTCCTTGTTTCTTCCATTGTCATCCAATGCCTTCTTTAGAAGATAACGAGAAGGTTCCAGTCCTGCTCCCGTGTGTTTCCTTCTTATCATTTACGTGCACATTTACCAAGAATGGCCATTTATACATGCAATAATTTTACTGTATCTTTCAGAGTTTCCTGGGCAGAAAATATTTTATTTCTTTCTACGTGCTTCATCATTCATAATTTTTGATACTTCCTATCATCACACTTCTCAGAACCACTTTCTATTACAACTTCTGATGACCTCACAGTAGTTGATAGTCGTCATCTTTCAATATTTTCATTAAATTACAAAGCTTGAAACGGCAACATTAAGACAAGAATATAGTCATGGTCGGTCCGGACCTTCATCCCATTTTCGTATGAAGCAAGTGACAAGCGTTGTATAACCTTTCCTTCTCGAACATTACGCCTGCAAAAACCTCAGTTTTGCACTTGTGTACCATCCAATAATTTTGACCACACTCACTTTTTCAGACCGTTTATAAAATCGGTCCTCATAAAATCGGTCTAAGGACATAACTGGAAGAATGCCACGATTGCCCTTCACTTGCTTCTTGAGTGTAGAGCCTACAAATAGGTTGATAGCGTGGTCATTTTATCAGGCATAACCTTACCTCACTGTTGATTTTTTTGTCGGTTTTGGTGAAGGGGGTCACCTTGGTTTCCGGCTCAGGGGTGAAGGGGGGGTGAGCAAATTCTCACACTATCGCACCTATGCTGAAAAATGCGCTTCAGAGTTCCACCGATCTCGCCTACTCAATGGAAGTGAATGGGACCGGTGAAGTTATGAAGTGCATTTTTAGGGCTTAGTGCTTGAGTTGGCAGGTGGGATTTGGGCTATAGTGTATGGGGGGTCGCCTACTTAACCACCGAAATCCGAGAAAGGTCCGTTTTGCAGCTCCACTGAATTTAGATCGTCTAAGATCAACATGACACGGCGCACACATTCTTCGGTACTTCACTCTAATACAGTCTATTATTGCTTTTTCCAACTGTGAAATCGCCAATCAAAGCAGCTGCACTCCGACTTGTTGCTTTTTTGGATCCTTCTTCTTCGTAACTTTGGGTATGAATGCTACAAATTCATGTTTCTTGACTCGTGTCCGCTGTGAGCTTGTCTGGATCTCGTAATTTGCAAGCTGCACTTCTTATGTACTTTCATCATAGCTATTTTTGGCTGTGTCCAGTCAGAACTTCGATGCAGAGTTGTTCGCTTCTAATTTTTTTTCCTTCCAAAATCAAAATGTTTCTTCTCAGTAAGTGTATGCTGCAGTAGATTGGAAATTGATTCAGTGCCAGTGCGGTGCCGACAGCAATTGCTCGTCAGGTGATAATGCGCACTTTTGAAATTTACCTTTTCACGCGTAAGTGTTGTCGGCAGCGTAAGAATGCTGGATGTCGCTAGATCTGCCACGCCGAGATTATCTGCATATGCTTTCTTTCAGCGTGGAAATACTGTAGAAGCAATCATTCCGTGCATGAAGCCGGAAACGGCAGAAGTTGATGACGGCAGAATTCCAAGAATCTACCAAGATGATACACCATGGCTCGCCTATTTCGCGAAATACTGCTTACGAAATGAACCGTGCATCTTGAGTGCAGAGTTTACAGCCGACTGGCCTGCTAGGGAACTATGGGTGCGTGAAGATGGGTCTCTCAATCTGGATTATCTCAAACAACAGTACGGTAAGTCCAGGGGCATTTTTTCTGTTTACGTTTTTGAACTTTTGGGTTTATTCTAGTATCGTGGATTTGGCTTATTTTGTCTAGGGTGGTTATTTGGCATGTTGATCACTGATATCATACTGTTTGTGAGTTAAGACCTTCCTGCGGAGCCACTGTAGTCATACGGTAGGGCTCAAAATTGTACATCTGTCTGTAACCTCCTGCAAGGAGTATACCCTTTGATTCGACTGGCTTAGCAGCTGAAAGGCGGAGCTTCATAACCTATCTAAGGCTAGGTAATGATCAGAAACACGCGCGCGGGAGAGACGCAGACTGCGTCGCGGGCGCGAGCGGCCTTATTTGTGTCACAAACCCCGCCTTCTAGTTGCTAAGCCTGGTGAATCAGAGGTTATATTACGTGAGGTGGTTACGAATTTCGCGCCCAATTTTTATAGGTTTTCAGATTTTATATGGCTCAAACCGCAAAAAGTGTTTGTTTATCGGCGTTGATTAGCCCCCTAGAACTAATTTCAGCTGAATCTGTAATTATGACTCCTAGAGTATGCTTACAATAGCACAGCGAAACGGCCCTAAAATGCAAGTAGCGTATGGTGTCCGTAATTAGCATCAGGATAATCCCTCTAGACCAGGGGATCAAATTCTCGGTTTCTAAAGAAGCTTGGATAATGGAATAGCGCCAAACCATTAACTGGTAACAAAGACAAAAAATGGTTCTTGTCCTATTTAGTTCGTGCTGCAAGTTTGAAATGTGGTGGCATAAAGGCGACTGTTGTAATGAGGATAACTATACACCTGTCCTCATTTTGAGAGTCGATACAGTTTCCTTGTTTCAGTGAAAGTGTCACCAGCGCCACGCCTCAGATCCCGCGCGGCCGCCTCGTTTGAAATGCGAGTGTGTTAGCCGTGATTGAAGGCTTGTGGTGCTCAGAGGATGGTTCGCAAACGCAGCGCAAAGCAGAGCGAGGCGGCCGCGCTATACCTGCACGACTGGCGACACTGCCATTGATACAGAGTGTACATATAATTTTAGGGTCTCAAACTGGTCCTGTGATGGCTGAGGACAGATGTGATCCTATCGAAATGACTGTTGCCGAATTCTGCGATTATTGCGCTGATCCTAGTGCTGCTGGGGATGCCTCGCTCCAGTACATGAAGGATTGGCATTTTCAGAAAAGGTGAGGCTTATTTACATCGCTATATTTTGATGGACTCTTCCGCATCATTTTACTGATAACCTTTTCCAACGTAAAATGAACTATGGAATGACGAGAAAATCGTGACTTGTTGATTTTTCCCATTCAAAGTTTAAGCAAGAATAGTCGAAGCAATATTAACGATTATTTGAAACTAGCTGGCATACCCGGCTCCGCGCGGTTCTTTCAACACACTATGATAAGTCTCACTCTACTTATCCTGTACAACTTTTCCCTGTGCCCACTTCTACATGCCACTTTCCTATCCCCGTTTTGTTTTCCTAATCAGCATGCCTACCTCTTGTGTCAACTCCCAGCCCCATAGCTCAAACTTTGCAAGAAAATTTATAAAATCGTTAAGTAGTAGAAGTTACTAAAACTAATATTGTATTAGCATGCTCACTTACCCCTTTGTGCCAACACCTAGCCCCGTAGCCGAATTTTGCAAGAAAATTGAAATCGATAAAAGTAGTAGATGATACTGAAAACTAATATCGTATTCGTAATCAGCATGCTCGATTATCCTCCTGTGCAAACTCCCAGCCCCGCGGGTCAAACTTTGCAAGAAAGTCAATAAAATCGAAATAGTAGATGATACTCAAAACTAGTATTGTATTCGTAATCAGCATACTCACTTACCCCACTGTGCCAACTCCCAGCCCTGTAGCTCAAACTTTGCAAAAAATCGATAAAATCGATAAAAGTAGTGGACGATTTTGAGAACTAATATCGTATTTAGAATCGCCATGCTCACTTACCCCCTGTGCCAACTCCAAGCCCCGTAGGTAAACTCTGCAAAAAATCGAAAATCGATAAAATCGATATCGATCGATGACGGAAAGTAGCCTATGACACCCGCCGGGCCCGAAGTGTATGTGTGCCAAGTTTGGTCCGCACCGGTTCAGAAATGGAATTTGATGTTCGGAACATACGTACCGACAGACAAACAGACAGACATACAGACATTCAGCTTTATATATAAGAAGTGCAAAGATTATCTTCCCATTGCAAACTTGCATTCATAGATATCTCCAGCGTTAATCATGCATATTTCCAATTTCTATTTTGAGAGTTTCAACCGTTAAATCGCTGTTAAGGAAGAGTAAGTGCGCATATTCATTGAGAGAAGTAAGATAAGAAAGAACGAAAACAAGAAGAAAGCCACAATTTTCTCTCTTAGATGCTCTCACAGAGTTTTTATAAGAAAGATCTTTTTGTAATTTTGACAATGATGTTGAGAGAACTGCACTTTCTTGCAATGGCATTCCCTTTTTTAGGGCGGGAAATGCGCGCAACAGAATTTTTTGAAGGCCCCGTATCTTCAGCGCGCTTGTACCCGTTAGGTTTCAAACGGCAACAATAACACAACAACAGCATTCAAAATTTTCTGAAGCAATTTGTATTTCTAAACAAATTTGGAATAGCCTGTACCGCCTCACCGTATCATTTGAGTAAACTTACTACTGTGGTATCAGAAGAAATATCAAATATTCTTTCAAGTTTACTGGAATACTGTGCAACCATTTGTCATCCAACAAGCAGATTCTTCTAACTCATTGCAGCTGTGGAATTAGCATGTATCATGTGCCAGCAATGTTGTCTGATGATTGGGCAAATCGTGAAAAATGGACAGATGACGATGAAAATCCGTTTCGTGGTGATTATAGATTTGTTTACTTTGGAGTAAAAGGCACATGGTAAGCCACTGGTCAGTTCAGAGTTGGAGGCAGCTTTCTCAACTCTTACAGGACGAAGTTTCACTCGGATGTAATGTCATCGCATAGTTGGTCAGCTAACGTATGCGGACACAAACTTTGGTATTTTGTCCCAATAGGCAACGAAAATATTTTCATGGAGAAAAATGGACAAATTGCGGAGGATATCAGACCCTACAGGGACCTTTGGGAGAAGGTGAAATTGAGTTTGAAAATGTGGTGCATCTGTGGGGTTTCTGAAGAATTTATTACAGGCGGATGTAAGGATAATGATTCAAAATCCTGGAGAGATTGTCTTTGTGCCTACGAATTGGTATCATCAAGTGCACAACTTGGTGGGTTCTTATTCATATGTTTGTCTAATTTTTCTTAAGTATTAGGTTGTCCCAAAAGTTCTTGCGCCGGATATTCAAAAAAATCATATCTTCCTTGCCACTCGATGGATTTTCTTGATTCTAATTTCATTTGCTTTCTCTTTACCAGAGTACCTTTGTTGTGAAGCGGCGTCAGAAAGTTCCAAAGCTAGAAGCAATTGAATAAAATCAGTCAAGATCGGCATTTTTCAAGATGGATCGCGAAAAATTCTGAAAGTATTTTTATTTGCTAGAGAAAATTTTGCACATTACGGTGGTGCCGTTTTCATGAATTAAAACGAAGTAGATCGAGAGTTAGAAGCAAATAAAGAGAATTTCTTCAGTTTTGCAATTTTTGAGCATCAAAAAAGCTTGAAAACGTCACAGAATAGGCGAAAAAGTCATAAACATGGGTTTTGTGATTTTCCCTTTCTAGCTGAGCGAAAATCGTGCCAATCGGGAGCAAATTTGATTTTCGTGATTTATTCGGGTTTTCGGGCCTGCTTTTTTCAAAAAAATGAAAATTGCTCCCGATTGGCGCGATTTTCGCTCAGCTACAAAGGGAAGGTCACAAAATCCATGTTTATGACTTTTTCGCCTTTTCTGTGACGTTTTCAAGCTTTTTTGAGCATGCTCAAAACTTGCAAAAGTGAAGAAATTTTCTTTATTTGCTTCTAACTCGCGATCTTCTTCGTGTTAATTCATGAAAAAGGTAACACTATGATGTGCAAAATTTTCTCTATCAAATAAAAATACTTGCAGAATTTTTCGTGATCCAGCTTAAAAAATGTCAATCTTGACTAATTTCCCTCAATTGCTTTTAACTCTCGAACTTACCAACGCTACTTCATGACAAAGGCACAGCTATAAAGAAAAAGGTTTCCTCTCTCATACAAGAATAATTTTGTGAAAAATCGTTAAGAAGAAAGGAAGTTATGATTTTTTGAAAATCCGGCGCAAGAACTTTTAGGACAACCTAATATATTAGGTTGTCAAGAAAATAATGTCGTTTTTTTCGGGTTTTTCGTGTAAAGTTGATATTACTCGAGAACTAGAGCTTATCCAAGGCCGAAAATTTATGGTTAAAGTTACGAAGCTTTGTAGTATACAAAGGCATATGTGGGAGGGGCCCAGTACTACTGGGGGCGGAGTCTGCCATTTTCCATTTTTTAATTTTTCCTTGGTTTCTAAGCATGGAAAAAATATAGCAAGTGTACCTATGGATAAGCGCATGTGTCCTTTACAAGCAGGAGCAAGTGAGAGGTTTGCAGGGTTTACTAGGGCGAAAATCCAGTTTTTGGCATCACGACTTGCTCGTATGTTTTGGCTCTGAACTTTGCGTAGATAACAAGTTCTGCCAATGTTCGGATGTCATCTTGTAGAGCTTCCTTTGCTCTATCGAATGGTACCCCTCCCATGGTTTTTTGGATTTGTCTTATGGCTTTGCTATGAAAAACGACATTATTTTCTTGACAACCTATATTTGCAAAATCATGAGCTTCTTATTAGGAGGCTATGATGTATCAGGTTGGTCCATAGGTCTTGCACCAAAAAATGTTGAAAATTCACATAAAAATATTGAACAATATTTCGAACATCTTATTATTCTGAAACCTACAACAAGTGCTCTATTTGATTATGCATATCAGAAATTTTAGTCGAAAGAAAATTGACATGAGGTGAGAAAGCGAAAATCATAACTTTTGGTACAAACATCCGTTCTCCACAAATGTTTCGCATTTGATAAGAGTAAGTCGTAAAACTATGATCAAAAATAATATCAGTTTTTATGAACCTTTTAGAATTTCTAGAGACACAATTAGGAAGCGGATGACTTTTTACTACACTATTTTGAAATGAACAAATTCGTTGAAAGCACCATTATCTACGAGTTTACAAAAATTGGTGCAAGATCATGCGTTAATTTAGTGTATTTACGTCTCAGTGCAACTTTTTGCTAATGTGGTCTTGGGAAGTCAAAAAGCTTGGAAGGTTCTCAGTGATTGAGCATTTTAGGAACTTACCCTATCGATCAACCACAATTCGGTGAACGTTTCAAATATACAACTCATCTACGAGTTCCTCTGTCGGCATCTCAAAGCAGTACAGAAAGAAATTGGACATTTGGCAGATTTATTCACAGAGCAAGAAATGAAAGAACAAGAGCAGGTTTGCTTTTCGTCTGAAATGGGTCATAGAAAAGAGAATCGGTATGGACTCCACTGGTTACGAACTAGGGGTGAGGGATAGAGGTAAGCGGGGTTTTTGAAAATGTGTCACACTTGAAATTTCTTGGAAGTAAATTGAATTTCTATTTGGTAATTAATTAGCTACTAAAAGCTATGGCTTCAAGAAATCCTATTGAGTGTAGTCATGCTACTTTCTCTCCTCTTCCAAACATTTTAACTTCTAAGATTTTTCCGAAGTCGGTGGTGCGTAGTCGGTGCATACTTTTTCATGTGGAAATAGTCATTGTTGCGTTTCTCCAGAAAACGAGTAAGATTTATGGGGGGGGGGGGGGGGGAGCGCTAGGGAAGGGAAGAGGGGAGAACCAGATGCCGAACGACTCTCTCTGGTGCAGGCTTAAAGCTACTGATCTGTGCATTTTCAGTTTCTTAAGAGAAGTTCTAGAATCTTCTTGTGAATGTAAATAAAATCATTTCAGTTCGTGCTAGGCGCAGATGCACGCATGAATATGCCGCGACTTCGAACTCTACTGCAGTTGGTTGTGGATGATCGCAGTCAAGGAGATGAAGCAAGTTGCTATATCTGTACAAAGCATTCGAATCCAAAGGACTGCAAAAAAGATCCAATTTGCTTGGACAGATTTTCCAATTATTGCAAGTGTACAACCAAACATTGCCAGCGTTGTTCTGCTTTTATGCGTTCATTCGAATTGTCCACAGCAATTTCATTGCTTGAGACTATGAAAGAAGATGGATTTTAGCAATCACTGGAAAATTTGCTAGATCACTGGTCAATTCTCGAGCAAACCTCTGTTTACTCAATAAGCTTAGCATTAGCATTGCTTTCCTAATTAAGTTAGCTTGTTAATAGTTGTTAATTCAAATGGTGCGGTTGCACGTAAAACCACCAAAATTGTAAAAAATGCTTCGTAAAATTGCTTCGTAAACCAATCCGGTATGCATTAAATGCAACTCAATTGTGCTTACTTTCCGGTTTCCTTCTTGGGTTCATAATATAACGAGCAATCGCACCTTGTGCATGCAAATCTTTCACCAAAACTGCTTATTAAATTTGTCTGTTCTGACGTTAACTGTGAAGTTAAATGCTTGTTTTCCCAATAAATTATGGTCAATTTTTATGTGTGCAAGGCGGAGTGAGTGAGGCACTCTATGCAGTTGTGAATGAAATTTTCTGGCAAAAATGTATGATATTTTTGACTGAGAAGCCTTTTTCACATCCTATGTAAAGTGTGCGGAAAAGAATGACGGACAGCTGTACAGAATATTATCTGTATTCCATACTTTTTCTAAACGGCGGAGCCTCCTTCTGTATTCACCCAGGGCGGGGGGCACGCCGAAGGCGACAATTGGCGAAAAATGGAGGCTGTGTATTATCCGTCTCAATGACTTTCACGGATTTCTACTTGTGGCATTGATTAATGTATCTGCTCCCACTCCCCACCCCCGTAGTCCCCCGGGGTGTCACTTTGACACCGGAGAGTTTTTGATAGGCACAAAATTGGGGATTGTCGCCTTCCGCACCACACCCACCCAGGGCTTTGCACGGGTGTATCGGAATCAAACTGGGTTCTATAGCAAATAGCAAAGACAAAACATGTTGAATTCAAGAAACGTGTGCAGACATGCCATCTTGCTTCAATATCGCATAATTGACATGCTCCAACATGTTCTCCGACAAGCGCGCGATTTTCAATGGTGCAAATGGATTGCCTGTTAACATTACAGCGCACTCGACCATATGCCAGAGTTGACTGCATGTATATAGCAGTGGCGGAACCCCGGGAGACGGTCGAATGGCACGTATTGATCCATTGTCACTAATCAGAAAAACCAGGAAAAAACTTCGAAATTGGTTTAGTACTTCCGGGAATAGACTGGTAATCCATCGTTACTATATTTCTGATGTGATGACAAACTTTAGTAGTTCGGAAACCTTGCTTTTATAGAGTGCAAATCCCTTGTGGCAATGACGACTGCCGAAACGCGCGCCTTTCGACATACACCCCGGAACCTCCCCCCCCCCTTTTTGAAATTTACTTACTTGGGTTATAAAAATGTGCAAGTGACTTGTTTATTTTTGTAAATAGAACAAATATGAGACATTTTAAAAGTTCAAATTAACCTTGTAAAAATTTTTTTTCGTGCAGCTATGGATCCACAGAAATTTTGAGAAACACCCCAAAATTCCTTTTGGAGTGCGTGGCTAATGCCACGCACCTTCATTTAAAACGATCTTTACCACCCCCCCCCCCCCTCCCGGACGATCCTGCGACCGCCACTCGTATTGTAGAGATAAAGATAGATAAACTTATGGGTTTTGTTTTGTTTTGCTAAGCTGGCCCTGAGCCAAACTAAAAAAAGGGCGCACTTCGACTGCCAAAAATTCAAAATTAGATGAACAAAAAGGTGCCTGGGAGGACCAAGCCCAATAATTTCTGAAAAGATGTTAGTCAGTTGAGCAAGATTCGTCTCATCTGACTAACATCAAATGTCTTCTGGAAGTCCCGCATAACGTCAGCTCATTATTGTGTAGCAGTATCGTTTGACGAAGTGTTCTTGTAAACTAACGTTCAAAATGACGACGTTCTACAGGCAGTTTCGGAAATGCCAAGCAACTTTGGTTAAAAGATCAGACTTTTCAGCTAATTAAACGACTAGTGATGCTCTTGATCACAAAACGTCGTTTTTATAACGTTTCTTGCTGGTCAGTAACATGCTTTACTTAGTCGAGATTTCTTGCAATATTACAGAGACTTGCATTTGTACTCGCCTGCTTCGTGAGTAAAACAGAAAAACCGGTTTGTCCGCATCATAACTTCAAAACAATCTGACTCGTTTGAGTATATGGGTCTTTCACGATCAACTACAAAGATAGCGGCAGCGAGAGCAACGGTTGGTCCCCTTCAAAAGTACAGGTCAAATTGTCTAGTGGCGCTGCGAACGTGTATCAATTTTGTAAACCAAGTTTGAGAACTATGGAAGCTTGCTGGATATCATGCAGATGCCCTAGATTGAACAAGAAAGGAGAAAGGTGGCTGTCAACAAGGAACTGGCTCCTTTTCTACAAATGTGTGGATTCGAGTCTGACCATAAAAGGAATGCTCATACCATCACACTAACGGCGAGTAGTGGTCTGACACGTTGTCAGAGTGGTGCGCGTGCGCTATACAGTTGGTGAAAGTATGTCCATGTCCACCCTTGGAGTGAATTATTGCATTGAGTCTCTTCCAGGCATTGACAAAGGCGATCTTCGCCGAAACGTAGACTGTACTGGTTGTTGACTATACTGAAAGGAAGGAACTACCAATCTTGGAAAGATTAACACGTTGACGACCGCTTGACACACCATGCGTGTCAAGCAATGACTACCACGTGGGACCGTTGACACACATGGTGTGTCAAGGCTTGAACTTCGTTAAAATGAAGACTATCCTAGTATAAACTCATTCCAAAAGTTTTCTTTTGCTGTGAATCTAGAAGTAACCTCTATCTTCGTTGTCAGCCTTCCACAGCTACTGTAGGTATACTGTAGATGACATTATGCGTGGTTTTATCTGAAAATGATGACTGGTCCGTGAAAGGTCTTGGTCCCAAGAGGTAGACAATAAAAAGTTTGCGTTATCTTCAACGTGTTAACAAAATATAACATAACTGATACTATGCCAAGAGTCAGAAATAGTCGGGCGTGGAATATCAGGTTTCCCATTCTGCCTATTCGACTGCCGTCAAGAGAACCTCATCCATTACATGTTCGAAACAGGAACGAGCGAGTGCACAGGCATATAAGAACGAAAAAAACAAATGCGCCGGATATTGTTCAATAATTGACTACATGCACCAAAAAGTCGTAAATCATCAATTTTTGAACAGTATGTGCCGACTTTGTCGGCACCTCCTTGCAACTTATCATCAGTTCTTCTAAGCACCGTTAAGGTCATGCCATAAGCATGACCTGCTGCGATACGAGTGTATTATTGCCCAGATGTTTGTGATGCTACTTTACCTCGCCTTCAATCACCAGCATTCTACCATTGCACCCATGTGGGCATGTTGATTGACTCAATAAAGCTGCTGAACTGCCTTGTCTACCAGCAGCTACACTGCTCCACCAAAGGCGCTATTTCCGCCTAAGGCACTAAAAGCCACGGAGCCACCACATTTATGGTGCATCGGCCAAATACGCAAGGCCCATCACTCGCCTCAGCTGCACAAAGGTTAGCTATTCCAACCTTGAGACCCAGCGCCCAAAATCCGCTGCTTCGCACTCGCGACAGCCACTCTCTACCGCAATCCGGGACAAAATCTTCCTAATTTTCGCTAAAAAAGTAGCGAGCGGCTCAAAAGCAGCCATATTTTTGCCATAATCGCAAATTTTTGCACCAAAAATGTCTCTAAAATTCTTCAAAGAGGCAATTTCATTTCACTCGGTAGCACTAGCAAAACTGCTCAAAAAATTCGAGCCTATTACCGATGTTCAATTCACTCTGCAGCATAATGAAGGCTTGAAAAAGAAATGTTTCGAAAATTTAGATATTCTCCTTTTATCTCTATCGCAAGTCAAAGCGAGATCGACGATTTTGCAGTCAATAGTCGACAAATTTGAGGAATTTTATCTCACGCACTTCAAAAGCAAGAGAAAAACAATCATACTTCAGCTACAAAAGCTTGAAAAGGAGGCTGGCTTCTATCAGTTGCTTTCCGATGCATATGTTTTTGTTTGTATTGTAGAACATCAAATACTAGACGCAGAAACATACAAAGGGAATTTTGAGATAAGCCAAGTAGTCAAAGAACGGCAATCCTGCCTGTTCAAAACCTTTTTACACAATGCGGAAAGAGAGATGGATACTCTCGCGATGATGAGCGTAGATTTCGCGACAAAGGGAGAAGACGAGTAAAGCGAAGAGCGCTTCAATCAGCATTCTGAAGACCGCACAATTTTGGCTCGCGGAGATACCATGGATGACAATATACCAGCAAAAGATGATATACCGACTTCGCAGGTCACCATGCCTGGAAGAGGTAAACGACGAAGCAATGATGAGATCGACAGGCACCTGATCGGAAACCCGCGACGAGGCAAGGAAAGTAAGAAGAATTATCAGTGTTCTCCCCTTCACTTTCCATTTTTGCCGTTGATGAATTTGGATATAATAAGACATTATTTATCCACTATACTCTGCCTTACTGCCACTTGCTTCTCTGCGATCTTATGCCAACTGGCACGACTGCATTAACCAGCATCTCGTTCTTAATTACCAGGCTCCCCAGATACGTCCATTAAGGTATCCTGATAAATATTCGCTTAGTATTCTTAGTTACAGTGTTTACATTTATGCTGCTCGTTTCGCTGTTTCTTATTTGTTCCCCTCGCTGGCGGGAGTGTGCCGACTTTGTCGGCACCTCCTTGCAACTTATCATCAGTTCTTCTAAGCACCGTTAAGGTCATGCCATAAGCATGACCTGCTGCGATACGAGTGTATTATTGCCCAGATGTTTGTGATGCTACTTTACCACGCCTTCAACCACCAGCATTCTACCATTGCACCCATGCGGGCATGTTGATTGACTCAATAAAGCTGCTGAACTACCTTGTCTATCAGCAGCTACACTGCTCCACCAAAGGCGCTATTTCCGCCTAAGGCACTGAAAGCCACGGAGCCACGTATCGGTGGTTCCTTGGCCGTACTGTGGCCTGAGGCTAATTAGCGCCTGATTGGGAGTAATTCTCCTGTGTTATACAGAACACATGTGATGTAGATTTATGAACAGACGACGTGCACGTATTAGTGCAGTAGTAGAATGCTGACGATCATACCCTCGATACATAGTGCCACATACTCTGGTAACCTTCACTTTGAGGGCTATGAGGGGACACAACCTTCACTTGGGAAAAAAAATAGAAATCATCCGGGGCAAAGCCCCGGATGTTATTATCCTGACTATATCGAATGTGAATGAACCACATATAGGAAAGAATATTTGAAGAATATCTCAGCGAAACCGAGAAAATGCTTTTTTAGAAAGCCTTTTTTACGCTGAAAAGAGAATTTCTGTGAAAGTTTCCTCAGAATTCAGGACAACGTTCCTCACTTAGCCTCTTACTTGACCAAAAATGAGTTTCAAAAGTTTGGGAAAGCTTTTGGAGTTGAATTGAAACGAGAAACTGCGTTTAAATGTGAGCAGAGAGTCGCGCCGGAAAATGCTGCTCTATCTCGTTAGTAAGTGACTTTCAAAGCTTGGAACGTTGTCAGCTCCCCTCGTCGTGTCATGACGGTCAGAATGATATATAATGTTACAGGGTTTCGTTGAGACCCCGACGAGATCTACGACCAGAGCCAAATGCCCCGTCGGCTCTGGTCTGTCTCCGCTGCTCGTCTGCGTCTCCGCGCGCTGCGCGCTACCTCGCTACCCCAAACGCGGGGCACGGGGCATTTGGCTCTGGTACCCTTTTCTCCGCTGTTTCGAACCCAATTTTGACAAGCTATATATCGTTTCAAAGCTCTTGATCTCTACTTTTACGCTGACAACGTCCCAAAATCACATTTCTTAATTTGAACGAGAAATGCGGCAAAAACCTTGTTTTTTAGAAAGTCTTGTTTTTCTCCTAGGTTAACTATTTTCACGCGGTTTTTTCGTGCATTCTATAGATCTTGCTTCCGTCTATAATGCAGACAACAACCCAGCCTCTTCTCTTCGATTGTTGTGGAATTCTTTGCGAAAAACCGTAAAAAGCGCGTTTTTCTTTACCTTGTTCTGTTTCAGTGCTTTCGCATCGATTTTTTTCCAGCTTGGGCGATTGTTGCTCAGAACAACAAGCGCAACAATCCAGACAACGTCCCAAGAGACAGGAACATCAATGCGGGGGTAAAAATTCAAAGGACGCATCAAAAATCAAAACCCCGTGTTGCGAATTGCTGGTCCTGAAGCGAAAACTTGCACTTTGAAAAGCCGCCAAATGAAAGATTTCAAGCCTCATTGCAACGATTTTATCCGGTTTTCAGCAGTTTCTTTTGCTTTTTACATCTGTTTTATGTCTTTTTCTCTTCTCTGATCATCTTTAACAACGTTCACTATTTATGACGTCAGATGTTGAAACAACCTTCACTTTTGACGCCCTGTCTCTAGACTATCGAAGGTATGCTGACGATTATAGGCGTGGCGAAGTAAGTTAACACATTTGGGCAGTAACGGTGTTCATATCACAGCAGGTCATGTATATGCATGACCTTCGTGGTAATCATCAGAGGAGGTGAAAGAGGTGCCGATTCTATCGGCACACATTAGTTACCATCGCCAGGGTAAGTTACATCTCTGCATGCCTTTCGCTTCTGATGCGATTTGTGCTGCAGTGCGAGGATGCATTAACCGCGCGAAGTTGAGAGACTATGTCATTTGAGTCAACATTCTGAGTGACAACATCAGGATGCGCCTAGTACGTAAAGAGCTTCACAACAACGCGCAACAACTGATCGAAAGCGGTACACCGTATATTCCTGGGCTGCTGTTTGCCCCACACTTCGAACCTACGACCATAATGAAATTCTGAATTTTTATACAATAAATATTTTCTTTCTTCTATATACTGTCGAATGTTTTGTATACAATAAATAACTGCATACCCAGTGGGCGAGAACAAATTCACCCGATGTAGAATACCTCGTAGTATTTTGGGGAATGATTTGAATGCTTTTCTCATTTGGTGTCCATTTACCGACAATGGTAGACTAGGCCCTTCTGTGAGTAAGGTCATTTATTTATTCTTCAAATTGTAGGCCCTAAGATATCTTTATGCGTTTTGCCAGGGTGCAAAACATATAAAAATTTCCTCTTGGTCTTAATTTGTTGCACGCACGATTGGAGACATTTCAGCAGCACTGAAACTTCCAACTTTAGCATACTGTTTTTGCAAGCCTTTATCTCAAAATCTAAAGGGTTTTTACGGAGCAAACACTAGTATTTCTGCTCAACGCAATGAGGATATGCATTGCTAAACCTCCTTTCGCTGGACGGTCAACCGTGCATTTTTGATTGTATCAAACAGTTTATTATGCAACAAATGGAATGCTTTAGTAGGCTTGATTTGCTCTAGCATAACTTTTCTTACACATTTTTCTATTCCCCGTCCACCAGCTGCGCGCGTACTGACAAGGGAAGGATGGTCAGTCGAAGTGACCTTTTGCGATGATTTGTATACGGTGATGAAGGGCGTAAAATGCTGATTCCAAATCTATCCTCCTTATCTGCGGTGCGTTCGTGGACGAGGAATTATGAGTTTAGGGTAGAATTTAGAATTTAGAGTAGCAAAAAGTGAATGTCTTTCTGGGACAAAATCAGTTGCTAAAATTTTCCTCGCGCTTGAATGAGACAGCCGGAGTGCGGATATAACTCATCTAAGAGTATCTATTTTATAGAGTGCTGGAAAGATTACACTGATCCATTTAAGCACTAGGAAAAATGCTACTATTGTTTTTATATTAACTATACATTGAATTTTTTTCTCCAATAAACGCTCATAAATTCTCGCGCAGGAATGCGCTGCAGGTAATAAGGACAGATTTGAAATCAGCATTTTATGCCCTCCAATATGATATACAACACATCTCAATAGGCCACTTCGACCAACCATCCTTCCCTTGTGAGATTAGCGAAATATATTTCTTGCTAGAAGAAAAGGTTAGTACTTCATTTATTTTAGCGAAAGTGGTTCACAAAATTGGTAACGGAGTGGGATAACAAAATAACAAAACGTGTGCCTGCATATTCGTGAAGTGAAATACATCTAAGCGTTGCACTGGAGATTACGAAAAGCAAAGGTACTTAAACTGATCACAGCTTTGTCTGAGAGCACGCCGAACTTCATAATGTACTGTAAGAATGCCTAGATGATAACTATTATCATAATTCTTCACGTTTTCTTTTGATAGAATACAAAATGACATCTGTTGCTTCGTCATAATGCACCTGCTCAACTGAAAATTCATCCTTGAGTGTTTCATAAAACTCTCTGTCTTTTGGATATCGTATTTTAGTGGCCATAAGCATTATCGTATTACCCTCAACCAACCACGTTATGACGTTTTTCAATGCTCCAAACACGCTCTTATCGTACACAAGATCTGCACCAAGCACAACATCGCAAGGCAGCTTGTCCTTTGGTGGATTTGTCCAATCTAGTGGAGCTACAGCAACCGTGGACATTTGTTTTTGGTCGAGGTTTGCCTCGAGATTCTGATGGAGAAGTGAGAGAGCTGAAGGTTGATCTGTGGCGGTGACATGGAAGGCAAAGAGTTTAGCGGCTACGATGGATGGAAGTCCTAAACCCGCTCCAAGTTCAAGGACACGTCGATCGCGTACAATATCATTGCGAAGAAGATATTCGGACAGGACAGTCGCCTAAAAATTGATATACTGTATAAATTCATTGATTACATGCAACAGTTTTTCTAGAACAAAGCCACAAACAGTGAGGATGCTACGTTGATCATCCAAGTTTAAAGTCGCGGGCTTCCTTTGTACTTCTGTTGTTCTTCATGTTTCTATTTAGTCGTTCCTAGTCGATTTGTATGTGTTAATTTGGTGAATGGTTTCATAATGTTTTGCTTGATTTGTGTTGGGACCACGCGATCGGTGCCTGAAGAATGAAGGATCTACCCCTAGACACCACGCCGAGCCCCCACAGTAACGCCTAACCTAAGCCAACCATTGCGTGACAAAGTATATATGAATTAAAGCTTGAAGGTCTTACGTTTACAACCTCTATGTTCCACTACCGATCTGGCATTACCATGGCAGCTTTCGCGACGGTTCTTCATAGAACTTAGGGATATTTAGCAGACCTTTCAACTTTCTTCCCTCGGTTTACTCGTTAAAAAATTTTTTTCAACGCTTTTCAAGATAGATTTAGCTCCTACAACTTTTAGCTTGATCAACTCTAAACTCTAACAAGATTTACTTCTATTAATGTTACCATTATGCAAAAAATCTCCAAAGTCTGCTCTCGTACTGGTCGCGAATTCGTTATAACTACAAAGTCTAAAACTTCTATGATTTTAGTGACCTGGTTCTTAGATTTCGGAATTCAAGTTCCGAGACCGACTTCGACAAATACTGGACTTTCCAAACCCGCAGCCAATAAACCGGTAAGTCTAGGTAGATATAAAAAATTTGCAATCTCTTGCAACATCTGCTGCATCGTAGATACTCTGTCTAGAAAAATAGCAGCGAAGATTCTTATTTTTCGTAGAGAACGTTGTGTACTTGCACTATAAGAAATCAGAATTTTTAAGTATCTGGTTCATTCTATCATAAATGTTTGTCTTTGGCGTGCCAATTTGTTCACTCATCGGTTCCCGCTGAAACACGAAACTCATTCTCTCAGTGCTTGCGTATCAACTTATTCGCAAAGGTACCTACATTCCCAAGTCCGTCCTTCATTTGCGTGCTTTTCTGCCCAAAATGTTCCGTGTAAATTGTTCGCGGCTTATGAACACTCTATGCCTTGACCACTAATTTAGACTCGTCAATTCCCATTCTAAAGTTACTGATGAATTTTCATGCTTCGATACAAAGTAATCTCGATATCTAAAAATTGTAATCATATCCTGCTCTTTTCAGTCTACGATCTGTAGCTTACAAGTGCTTTGGATTCTTGCCATTTGGGGTCAGATGTATCCCACCTCACTAAGTTGGTGGATAGCTCAAGAAAATAATTATACTATCGAGTTTGCTAAGGCGATGGTTCTTCATTAGCCTTAGCATTAGCATCATCTGCCTCAAAATTTCAAAATTAATAGTTTTCTCGATCTAGCAACAAGTTTCATAGCTGTTATTGTAATCTATTAGGTCACTCGGAAAGGTTTTCCGCTTTTTGCGCCTTTGATGTTGGTCCATATTTTAAGAGAGTGTCAGAGAGCTGATAGGGTTGCTCTATATGGATCTGTAGAGGAAATCTTGTAGTTTCCGAGGATCCCACCGAAGTTGCAAAAAACACTTTGTAGGAAAGTTTATGCGGTTTTGATTTCGACATATGAAAACGCGATTTTCGAAAAATCGCATTCTCTAAACTCAAACATGAGTGTACGGCAGTTGAGTGAGCCATCATTGTGCGCAATGCATTTGCCAAGGACACGTCTTTCTTGAGGTTAGTTCAAGTCTGCTCCAGAAAGATCTAAAGAAGTGAAAGCTAATGTTTTGCAGTATTATGGAAGGTGTTCCTGCCATAAGAACGAGCATCTCAGAGGTTCCTTTATACCAAATAGCAAATATGGCTGCATAAAATTATCAGCAGGTCTAGGAGTCTCATATACTAGCTCCATCAGGAGCCACCTTCGCCACCTGCAATACCGAGAAATGTCAGCGACATATACCCAACAAATTGTCGCACTCGCAAATTGAGGGCGCGTTGACCCTGATATCGCTGCTCATAATTTGATGGAGCAATCCTTTTTTGGCCTGGGTTGGTACTTACGGCAAAAAATTGACCAAGTACGGTTACAAGAAGCGACATTGTGGTAAATCAGTTGGCACAAGCATTGAAAGCATGGCCATAAACAATCAATCATTCCAAGAGGTTGATGACCTCAAATTAATGTAATCCTGCTGCTCTTGCACACTGTAAACTTGCTAACGAGGGAAGGATACTTGGTGATCGTGGCTTTTTGCAATGAGATGCATACTAGTAGGTGCGTCTTGGAGCGCTGATTCTAAATCTATGTTCAACATCTGCTGCGCGACTCCCTAGTTATGGACTTTTTTCCATACTGTTTTTGCGAGATTTAGGCAGGCAAAATCGTCAGTATCTAGGCTTTTTAGACTCTGATGTATCGGTGACAGTTTTCTTGTGCATAAGTTGAAGCTTTACTTTATCTGTACGCTCTTTATGCATAAGCGAACATTTTAACGATATTGGTGAATCCTGCATCAAAAACAATGCAAATTTTGATGACAAAAATGTGCATAACTTCATTCGGAGGAGCGCACAGCAGATAATCAAAACAGATTTGGAGTCAGCGCTTTAATATGCATTTAATGGTGTACTTTTCATTTCAAGGCCACGGTCACCAAGTATCCTTTCCTCGTAAGATGTGACATCATGTAAGACATCAATATATACCTTTACAAGGCTACTATTTCATCGTATTTATCCGGGAATTAGCCTGCCTAACTATGAAGAAAGATTGAAAACTTTGTCATTGCACACTCTATTATTCAGGAGAGTTTGCAATGATTTGACATTTGCTTTTCGCATATTGAAAAAGGAAACTAATTTGTGCGTCCGTAAGTATTGGAGGTTCCGGCCATGCTCATCTAGAAGAGCTGCCTTTGACCTAGATTATGGAATGATATTTAGAAAGCATCATTCACTAGCTTTTAACTCCTTTTTCCCGGACCGCAAGATGGCTTGATCTCTTGCCATACGAGGTTTTCGAATCAACCGATAGCAAGAATTTTAAATGCAAACTGCAAAAATTTTTGCGGCTTGATTGTTTGAGAGTAAACGGCTAATGGCTGTTTGCTCTGAAGCAGTTGAGCCATGATTCATTTTCAGCTATGCCCGGATGCTCAAGAACAGCGACTATATAGTCACTTGTCTTGAACAACTTTGCCCTGCGTCTTTAATTTAGGTGGTCTTGAACGTGTTGGCATGCGGTGGATATTCTTTCAACTTAGTCTATATAATTAATATTCATGGTGCGCGTGACAGTTTCGCTGGGTTTTGGCTGGATGGTTTGTGACAATTAGTGGTTGCTACAATGGAACAATCGCCTTTCTGCTGTGTTGGATTTTTTTTTGAGCAGTAAAGTTAACCATGGCTAGACTAACCCATTGTTGCTTTCGTTGCTTGACTGTATGAACTAACTGCAAGCTTCGTTTGTTTCCATTTCTCTATGACTGCATTTGATCGTAGAACCGAGGGAATTAGAATTGATTTCAGTTGAAGTCCTCGGACATTGGTGTTTGATCAAATTTATACTTTGTCCACACGTTGGGTTGAGTCCGATGAATTTCTATTTTTTACCTGGGAATAGCTTGTTAAGCTCAATCAGCTTTTTGCATTATGCAATTTTTTCTCCGCTATCGGAGTTCTGCTCCTCCCCAGAACTGGTTGTGCGGGATTTCTATATATACCGCTTCTCCTAGTTCCAGTTTGCTTATACTGAATAGTAAAGATCGCCTGTTCGGGCAAGCAGGGGGCATGGGGCAGACTCCATTGGGTCTCTGCGCTATCATTATCGAGTGATTACTTCACACCTGGTCTATACAAGCTCTATCCCTGATTTTCTTCAAAATTATCTGGTGACTGGACTTAAGCCAACTTATTGGATGTTTTTTGTTTTATTCTTTGTGTTTGTTACTGGTTATGTTCTCTGTATTTTGCTCTGGATATGGCACGCCTTGTGCGTAATAAATAAATAATAAATAAATAAATATAATATAAATATGATTTACGGCGCAATATAGAATAATTTGCATAATTAATCAAGATAGGTAACTGACCGAATCCCAGAGCACTCCTGCCACTCCGTTTTCGTTCCAATTCTGTTGAAGTCGAATGATATGGCTTCCAATTTTCACGACTTTTTCTTTTTCTGCGAAACGTTTCAAAGGCGCCTGTAAAGTCACCACCCTCTTTCAAAATGAAGAGCAATCCCTACCTGATTATCGTCGTAGACAACTAGAGCTTGTGCGTCAGTAGTTGATGATGCCATCGTTAATATCGTACTTATCAAGAAAGTGAGAGTATAAACCTGCATAACATATCTGAAACGCTGCAATTTATGACTTGATACTCCTTTTCACAAGTATGTGCAGCAAATCGTTTCTATAGGGCAGCGTAGTATGGAAAGCCAGAAATCGCTGCCTGCATCCGATTGAGGAGAAAATTCGACAAGAATCCAAAAAAATTGGTAGGCATGTCGGAGAGTTTCGAATAGGAACAAATCGTCACAACACTGCTTAAAATCCTCGTGGATGCTCGCAGAAAGGCGAAAGGTCAAAATCGCACTAAGACACAAGAACCAACTGGTATCTGCCTACCATTCAAGTAAAAAAGATTTGTCAGCATAGCTCAGTCTGAAGGGGAACGAGGTCACAGCTAATTCTGAAACTTGCAAAGTTTGACACCCAATGCAGCGAGAAACCTTGCTAAGTTCACGAAAATACCATGACAATCAGGAACTCCGCTCTCTGAAGTTTGAGAAAACTTGATTTTTCAGCAGATAGTACTTAACGTATGAGAAAAGCATAACGAATGAATTACAAACTTCTTCTGTCCTACCAGACCCTGCCATTCTCACTAGAGAGCAGCCGCCAAGGATCCCTCCTTCAAAAGTAAGCGCAGCCATAGCGTGCACGAAATTAAGCACAGCTCCTGGTCCAGATAGAATCACTGCCAATATATTTCGAGAAGGCGGTCACAAGCTGCACTCTCTACTGACAGCTCATATGATAGGTTATTGAAGGAAAGGGTACCCAACCGGTGGAGGACATCCCGGACGAACAAAAGAAAAGCGGGAAAGAAGACCTGAAAAATCTTGTTAAGTGTGCTCTACAAGTTAAGATCATCATGTCGCGTATTTCAACGACGTTGGATCAAGCACCGTCTGAACAGGCCGGATTCTGTGAAGGGTTCACCTGCATCAATCACATTCAAGCCTTCTCAGGAGTCGTGGATATCTATCGGGAAAACCAACTGCACTATTCCTCACCTTTGTCGACTACAAAAGTGTGGAATAGAAGTGGAACAACGCCGTTTCAATAGCTTTGATCGACCAAAAAGTGGACGCTATCTATACAAAGACTGCAGAATGACCACGATGATACAGCTATTCGAGCATCCGCTCTACATCCATATTGGAAAAGGAGTACGTCAAGACAAAAGTCGCCAAAGCTGTTCACTGCCGCACTGCAATGGCGCATGCAGTCACTCGAGAGGATTGAGAAGGGGATACGATTGAACGAACGATACCTTTCGATTATCCATTTTGTGACTATCGTTCCATTTTGGAAATCCGTTGGTGAAACCGAGGAGATGTTAAACGAGTTGAGCGAAAACGGGAGGATTGGGCTTAGAATTAATTGGACGAAGAGCAGTTCATGAGAAACACCTAATGCAGTGAATGCCGCCGGTGGAGGAGACCACATCCTAACTAGGACATACCATCAACGTGAACATCGACATAAAGAACGAATTTAGGAGAAGTCAGAGAGCGACATGGACAGTATTCGTACCACTGAGGAGGCTACAGACCATCTTGCTGACACGGACCTACTTTAAGTAAGAGTTGCGAACTTTCCTTTGACTTCTTTTCCATCGCTGTATAGCTCCACAAATTAAAGAGCTAGATACTTGTAAAAGACTGAAAGGTTTTTCAAAATCCCTTCAAACCTCTCTGAATTCCGACAAACTCACGTAAAAAGATACAGCATTACTAATGCTCTATTGAAGAGCAACAATTAGCTTAAATGTCGTTTGTGATGCTGATAAATGGCATGCACGTAATTTGTACTGTTGGAGTTGTTGTACTTTACGGATCATCTGTTACAGTGCCTCCAAACGTACTCATCGCTTTCTATCACTGTTCAAAGAAGGTCAAACTTTACCTTTCGTAAATGAAGCCAAACTCGGCAAATTCACAACTTCAACTCCCTAGCTCTTAGGCCAAAGGAACTCCAGCGATTCCAAATCGCTGGAACCGCGACTCTTTACCAGGTTCTCAGCAAGCGCTTTAACGCCCAACGATGAAGAGTCGTTGCGTGCGAAGTAACGCAGCGACTTTATTGCGTGAGGTATGCCTTAGACCTAAGGCATACTTCACGCGTTTCGGCTAAATCGCCACTTTCACGCGACTTGACGCTTTGTCAGATTTCTACAAATATATCGTGCGCGCTTCTCGGATGCATACTGGGTAGCTTGTGTAAGCTGTTGCAGATGGAGCAAGTTCTGACCAAAGGCAGCGCATACGACGAATTACGAAGAGTCGCTGTTGTGCGAAATCGCGCAGCGACCGGAATCGCGCGAGGTATGCCTTAAGCCTTGAATCTTACAGTCTTTCTGAATATGACAAGTCGACGCAGTGCTTCATAGCTTTCTAGCTGTTGGAGACTTGGTGACAGAGTCCGGCACAGATGGTTCAGAGTCAAATTGGACTTCGTTTTTGAGATTAGAAGCAACGAGATATCGTTTCTTTGAAGATTATTAGGGGCGAGGAAGAAGAACGTGGCTGGTGGGTGTCAATAACCGCGCATCTCTCACCGTGATATCTGTCCGCACTCAGAAACATAAAGCATTTCTGTTCTAAAGCTTCCAGTCACATGGGAGCGCTGAAAAGATTTTGTTTGTTATAAAATGATGTAAGAAAAGACGTAAAAGAAAATCAGAAGGGACTTCATATAAAAGCACTTGTCACTTTGCTCTAAGTTACTAAGCTGAGCAGTAGTTTCAGCTCTAAATATTTTCACTAACAATAAAATGGAATTTGCATTTGTCTGTCGGCAGCAGCGCTGGCAATTGCCTTTGCACCATACCCTATCTATGATGGATGCACCATCAGTTTTCGAACCCTCATTGGTCCCTTCAAGTCCGAGACACTAGTCAATACAGCACACGACCCCTTTGAAGACATGCAGAGGCCAAAGCTTCAACGGGCGATAGTTTGCTCCAGAATAACGCTTCGCAGCTAATAAATGCATATCCTCTTTCGATATGAACCCAAGCAAAAGTTGCGCGTCTAGATTGCTCCGCCCCCATGTATGAGTGTAACGTTGGTTTACATAGACGTTAGTCGGATGAACAGCAGCTGAATCCTGGGAGCGGCGGTGTAACGATGAGGAGAAGAGGACGTAGAGGTCGAAGCGCGACGAGAGGTATCACGACATGCAGAGTGTGTTCTATTCTGAAATGTGGAAGCGCATGCAAAGTGTGGTAAAATATGCAGCATGAGATGGTAGCGAAGACCTTTTGGCCTGAGCAGGGCTCGGCACGAGGTGGCTAGATGAAAATGGAAAAAACGAAGTCCCCCTTGACTTTTGGGAATTTTTACGAAGTCCCCTTTGACCCTGAACCAAATTTCTTCTAAAAACATGAAAAATTCCCGAAAATCCCCCAAAAAACGAAACGTCGACTAAAAAAAAAGGTCGCCGTCGTCAATTTTCCGTATGTCTTCGCTCACAAAAACGAAACCCCCTTTGCTTTTCGTCCCAAAAACGATATCCAGCTTGCTTGTAAGCCACCTGTGCCGAGCCGTGGGCCTGAGGTGTTCCGCCATACACACTATACTTTGGACCGAATCGAATAAATATTCGAGTCTTCGAATAAAGTATTCGAATAAAATTTATTCGAAATTCGATTATTCGAAAAATTTAAAATCTCGAATATATTCGATATTCGCTTATTCGAATGTCATTTTCGAATTTATTCGATTATTCGGTTATTCAAAAATTTTGTTTTTCTAATATATTCGAACATTCGAATATTTAATTGAAGTTATTCGATTATTCGACATTTTCGTGTAATCGAATGACTATATGCTCTAGTGACTTATGTACTATCTTGCCTCCTTTCCCCTTCTAATTGTTTTTCTTGCTTTTACACGTCATTCCAAATTGCAAGTCGGTCTCGCCACGACCACCGTGTTTCCGCATAAGTGGACTGTAGGTTGAATATGGTTGCGAAATCTGATGTTGTTGCCAGCTCGCTGTTTCGTGTGATTTGCTGGAGTTCTCTAGGTTTTTGATTGTTTGCAACGGTTTTTCTCTTTTTATTTCCGCCTTAGTTCTATAAGAGTGGGAGCGGGTTGGAGAATAACACTGTGCTGCCTTTTTATCCGAAAAATGCACGTCTTTCCGTCCCCTCATTCTCGAATATCATCGTATTTGGAACATCATCGTAGGAGCTAAGGTTCCATACCTGATAATCTTCTGCCGCTCTTGAGAGCTGTTTGGCTATGTTACTTCATTCTCTAAAACGGTCAAAAAACCACGTAACTTTATTGGAAATATAGACTTGTTAACTCGAATGTCTCCTTACTGTTACTTCCGGTTTTGGTCAACTGCGGACAAATGGTTTTTGCTGTTTTGTTTTTTGCCAAGGTGAAAGGTCTTTCGCAATTCTGACCAAGCTGTGTTCAGTTTGCTCAACAATACAAATCTGCCGGCTGGCATTTCATCAACCTCAACAACTTTTGAAGAAGCAAAGCACAGAGACAACACTATTTGGACTCGTTTTCGAAGCTAAAGTTCATGCACAAGTTTAAGTGGGCATGCTGCTGAGTAATTGGGTGTTGGAAAAAGATAGAATACTAACTACATCAACAGCGTGCTCTTAATTTTGATGTTTTTGCAGCCTTTGATCGAAAGTAGGTGTGAATGAGCCCCTTATCTCTACTGATTTGCGCACTTAAGAGTGGAGGCAGAAGACCGGTATTCACAGTGGATTAGATTGTTGACTTCTATAGTCTTATGAGGAAGTAGACCGAGCAGAACCGGATCTGTCAACAGTTCAGTGATATGCGTTACATTTTGAATATATCAGTTGCTTGTTCTTAGTTGTATGCTACTGGGAGTCTTTTTTTTTGTACTATTCGAATAGATTTGTTTGAATATTCGACATAGTTTATACAAAGTATTCGTTTATTCGAGATTTTTTCTCGAATATATTCGAAACTTCGAAATTTCTTCATTTCTAAAATATTCGATATTCGATTATTCGACATTTTTTTTATATCGAAAATATTCGATATTCGATTATTCGACATTTTTGATTCTGAAAAATATTCGATATTCGGATATTCGACATTTTTTTGAAAATATTCGAAATTCGTTTATTCGATATTTTTGATTTTTGAATATATTTGATTATTCGAAAAAAAAAATTCCGATTCCAAAGTATAATACACACGTCCGATAACAAGCTTGTCGGAGCTCTTCTCCAAATCGCAACTTTCCCAATTTTTCTACGCATGCTTTCTACGTCTACAACTCCGGAAAGATCGCTGAATCGGTTTTGGGACCAATTATTTGCAAAGTACCGTTTTCTCTCAAAAAGTGAGGCGTGCGAGAATGATTGTAGGAGGAAACTGTACAGTTTTTCGCAGAGCAGAACACTGTTTCAAGGAGATATCGTTTTCTTCTCGGCCAGAATAAGAGAATGTGTGAACATCACTTCTGACTGTGAGAGCGATTGCTCTGCAAAAAAAATTTACCCTCGTAAAGGTTAGCTTGTGAGCAAGAACGACATTGTGAGTGGGAAATGTATAGGGCATTTGAAAAATTGTGACGATGGCGCGACCGCGCGTTACACGCACGCCACTCGCGGAAATCGCATTTTCTTGGTTTTCATCTCTGGTCGAGTGGTTTTTTGCCTACGTATGAGAGTATTTAGACACTGAAGTGACTGAGCTGAACGCTGAGGTGGTGCCTTCTTGTATGAGTGTTTTATGCTCCTGTGGGCGCAGAGTCCGCAGTAAAATCCGTCGTCACGATTTTATAAGTGAACTATACAGTGTTTCGGCCCGTTTTAGAAAGATATTATACACTTCCCTGGTCGATCTCGGGCAAATTCTCGAAAATCTCGCTTTTGAGATGCATCGCTCTGCAAATACACTTTTCTTCCAAAAAAGTAAGCATGTGAGCAGGAACGATCTTGCGGGAGGAAAATTTGGAGCGTTGCGCAGAGCAAACACCTTTTTTTTAGGGAGATATCATCCACTTTCCAGTCAAATTTCGAGAAAACCTTCGATATCGCTTTCGTGTGGAACTGCGGCACATAGGCTGCTGAATTGAAATTGAAATTTTCTTGCAGGTTTAAAACATCAACGACTGCTTGATACTCATGGCCTATCAAACAACTTCTCGCAGTTCGTTAAAATGACACTATCTTGGGATAAACTCGCTCCAGAACTTTTCCTTTGCACTATATATAAAAACAGCCTTCCTTTTTTGTCAGCCTTTCAGAGGTACTGTAGGTATATTGTGAATGGTAGCATGCATGATTTGATCTAAATATTTTTGAGTAGTCCGTTTGAAGCTTCGTCCCCAAAAGACAGACAACCAAAAATCTGCATCGTCGCCAATAATTTAGTACGGATCGCTCCCAATCTTGTTAGCGACCCGTAGGGCCACTTCGACTTGACGAAATTCCCTTATGAGAAACAAGCACTTTTCTATTTTTCTACCGTTTACTGGAAAATGGGCCGCTTGAAAACTGGCAAAGGATAAGATTTCCTGCTTTGTTACAAAAATCCTGATGATTTCAGTAGCAGATTGCAGAACACATTGTCTGTATACGGAGAAAGTAGATTCACAAATGTTTATTCGATAACAAGAACTTTACAATAAATAATGTCAGCATAGAATTCATTAATCCAGCTTTCAGTGACTATAATCTGTTTTTCATCTGTTAACAACACCCGCAATGTGAGTTCTAAAAATTCAACAATGCCACTGATCGATATAATCGAGCTAAGCGATGATCTAGCTGAATATATACATTGGGCTTCCAGCTATGAAGTGGGCGGAGTAAAAATAATGGGCGTTTCCAGCCATTCGCACTCTGCCCACTTTTCTAGGATGGAAGTCAACGAAACAGAAGGGAAGGAGACATCTAAATAAATTTTACTAGAATTCTGATATCACACTGGCAGAACCGGATAACAGGTTAGTAACTCCAGTCAAGATGAAACATCGCTAAATTAGATATTATTATCTTGAAGATTAAGAGATTCACCTTGGCTCAAAGTAACAATGAATCGCATTCTAAAAATTAGAGTTACAATTAAAGGTCACATGAATGAAAAAATCGTTAGCAGATTTCTTTAGTGATTAATGAATGATACAAGATTAACAACATGAGGTGAGATAGCGTAAAAATCAAAGCAATCAGCAATATTCTATACAACTATGTACAAAACCATTTACGGCCCGTCAGAGAACAAACTCGTTCTTCAATAGAATCTAGGGACAATCATTCAGATGAGTGGACTTTGACAGGGTTATAGAGGCTAACGGTATAGTGGAGATGCATGGATTACATGGGGAACCCGCTTACTAGCTAACACGTAATCTACCTCATAATATTTGTTGAAATAAGTTAATTGGGACTGCTCTATGGCAGCACATGGAACGTTAATCCAGTATTTGGTCACAAAATGCTCTTAGCAGTCCCAATGGCTACAGAACCAGCTTTAGTAGACTCGTGAGCAACATACGGGGCATGATCGGCACATAACCGCCGCAGCCTCTTTCGTTTCTTTCCAGCAAGAGATCATTCGATTTCAGATATGAAGGCCGATTATACGATGGAGTCAAGTCGCACATCACGTCAGAGAGGCAGTAACTGACGTATCCTCTGTGTCTCCGTCCTGAGCGTACGACTTATTTGAGTGCTCTAGCTAATGCTAGGCACATATCCTAGCTGGGTAACGACTTGAGCGCGTTACCGCTTTGGGGTAAGGTCATCGCTCTCGTTGGTATTCTTCTGATATAGGTTGAAAGCAAGCACTACTGGTGCTGACTTCAGCTGGGGCACATTCGCCATCTCCACATCCGGTCGATGCCAGGGAGACTTTTCGGTTATGATCTGGAATAATTGACCTGAGAGGAACATTCTAAAACAACTGCCGGGTAAAGGACCATATGTTCCAAGAGGACAAGTCCCACACGGACAACTGCAATAACTATGCGCTTCTTGCATTCCTATGGTTCTGCATGAAGTGCTATTTGTAGCTGAAGTGCGCGCGAAACTCCCCTTTTAGCGGCATAGTCCTCTACCCCACAATGTTGTCCCGCTTGAAAAAGGCGGAGCTTACCGCAAACCGTAACAACATCAAGAATTTACTCACCACTACTCGAATGATATCCTTCAGATCCTTGTGAATCGCAGCCATTCATGGCGTTGATTCGTTCACGTGCTAGACTTGCCGTAATTCGTCCATCGGCGATTGTATGCCACATATCGCAGATGGTGTATTCAATTGCACCTCCCACCTGAATAGCAAGCAACTATAATGAAAAGTCGAATCTAAACAGTAAAAAATGGAAAGATCCCGCGAAACTCACAGGGTGCTTGGAGACTTCAGGTCGAAATTCTGGACGAAGTTTGCGGTTAACCACCACATCTCGCATTTCGCCTAAAGTGGGGTAGGGACTAGTATATTCCTCAAATGGTTGCTTGTAGGGCGGTATTTCTGCTTGATCATCATCTTCAGCAACATTCGTGCGCGAAAGGACTTCCCACATAACCTGGAACAATTTGTGTTTACCGTTTAATGGAGATACGGTAATTTCAAAATTTCAAACATACCAAAGCCATTGCATAGACGTCAATTCGTTGGAACGCGGGAACCGTGAATTCCGTGGCTCCTTCTAGCACTTCTGGAGACATGTAGCGGAAGGTACCGACCTGATATTGCAAATTTATACTCACACTCAGATAATACTCCCGCATTAGTACTATAAATTCGAATTCCTCATCTGCGCGCGCCCTGAGTGGTCGCTTTTTTTTCCAGCTCTTATCATCACCTTCATTTCTGACTTTTCACTCATTCCTATCACTTCCAAAACTCATTTTTTGTAGCCTAAGAATTTTTTGTCCGCTTAGCTTTCATTCCTTTACGGTTTCGGTGTCACAGCCTTTTTTCTCTTCCTTTCTATCATTTCCTTATCTTTTCCTTCTTCCTCCAATCAATAATCCGCCATGCCCGCACGTTCTGGGAGGTCAAGCACTCAACCTGTGTCCTCACGCGTGACTAGAAGAACAACTTCTAAAAGTCTCTCTCAGCCTCTAGCAGTTTCCGATGGCAACACTGAGGATTTTGCTAATATGACGGCGAGCGAACTTGTGGTTTCCCTCTTGAATAAAAATACGGACCCATTGATGGAAAAAATGCTGCTTGCTCTCCAGTCAAAGATCCCCGCTGATGTAGAAGCGGAGAAGAGACAGCGCAGTGTCGTAATCGCGGGATTGCAAGAGTCGGAATCCGGCAAGACGCTTCTCGAAAGAAAGTCTGAACTCGAAAAAGGCGTAGCGGATATTCTGGAGACCTTGAAAGTTGACTGTTTTCCCACCGAGATTTTCCGTATGGGAAAGTTCGACGGAACTAGGCCTCGTTTAGTAAAATTAGTTTTTCCGTCTAAAGCTCAGTGGAGCCAGGTCCTCGCCAATGCACACCTTCTGCGGCAGTCCGAATTTTCCAACATTTTTATCCGCAGAAGCATGACGGCTTCCGAGAGGGCGCAGGAATACGAATTGAGGCAGCAAGCAAAGGAGAGAAACAGGGGCAAAAATGTAAAGGAATGGGTTGTTTATAAGGGAGAACTGAGACGGATTTCAGAGCTTCCAAACCGCCGTTTTCCGGAAAACGCATGAACTTGCCCGGTCCATACGATCAGCTAAATTGTTATCTTTTCAACTCCCGAAGCCTCGTCAACAAGATACATCTCCTTCATGCCTTCTTGAATTGTCATTCTCCTGACCTACTCTGTGTTACGGAAACCTGGCTCAGCCCCAAAATCAAAAATTCTGAATTAACCTCTAGTTTTCCTTACTCTTATCGCACGGATAGGACTCAATGCAAAGGTGGTGGGGTATGTCTTTTAGTCAAAGAAGATTATGCCGTAGAGCGAGTTCGTTTCATCAGTGATCTTTTATCTGACATTCTTGTTGCGAATATCTGGTCAGTTCGGTCTTCTTTGCCTCTCAGAGTAATTGTTATCTACCGCCCCCCATCTTCTAGTTCAAGCGACGATGCAAAACTAGCTGATGCTTTATATGACCTTTGTTCTCTTCCTTTTAATACTATCGTTGTCGGTGATTTCAACATCGATGTATTATCGCCATCATTCCCTCGCAATTCTCAGCTCTACTCCTTTCTTTTTGAAAGTAATCTTTATCAGCACGTCAACTTCCCCACTAGAGGGAAGGCGGCCATCGATCTGGTTTTATCTAGTGGCAGAGAAATCACAAACGTCGAATCCATTGCTCCCTTTGGGACATCTGATCACAACATTATCAGCTTCCAAATAGCTTTTTATCCTCATAAAGCCACTTTTCTCCCGTATCCTGATTTCAGTAAAGCAGACTTTACAGATATCAGTAGAGCTCTTCTCAATATTGACTGGTTTAGTGTGCTACGCGATGAATCTGTTGACAATCTTTACTATCATTTTTGTATAATACTATATTCTATTCTGGGTCAGTATGTACCTCTTCGTTTCGACCACTCTCGACTCAAAAAGTATCCTATTCAAATCCAAAACCTTCTAGAACAGAAAAATAAGCTTTTCTCTCGATTGCCTGACCCCTTGAATAACCACTTTTACAGGAAAATTTGTAAAGACATCAACTATCATATAAGGAAATATTTGAGCAATAGAGAGCGTCGATTGTCCAGAACCAATGCGAAGGAGCTCTACCGATATCTTAGACACCAAAGTAAAGGCCAACAAAAACTGCCCAATTTTTTTGACGACTATGGAAATATCTACACTCGCGATAGTGAAAAATCAGAAGCATTGGGCAATCATTTCGCTAGCTTTTTCATGACAGTCTCTTCTGATGAAATTTCCAATATCACCTTACAGCTTGATCGAGTACCTGCTTCTTGTTCGGAATTACATGTAAACCCAGCCAAAGTCTATGATATCCTCAAGAAACTCGATGCAACAGCCAGTGCTTCTTACGACGGTATTCCTCAAATTGTTTACCGGAAATGTGCTAGCGCCCTCTGCCTACCCCTTTCTCTTATTTTCAGCGCTTCCTTGGCACAAGGCAAGGTCCCTAACATCTGGAAAGAGGCACTGGTCACTGCCATACCTAAGTGCGACCAAGCAAATGCCATTAGCAATTTCCGACCCATTAGTATTACGCCGCCATCCGGCAAAATTCTTGAAAAAATTATCAAGAATAAGCTTCTTGACTGGTTTGAACACAACAATATTATTCCTTCGGAGCAATATGGCTTTCTGCGAGGTGGCTCGACCACGGCGCTGCTTTGTGATTCAGTCCATGATTGGATGGTTGCCCTTAACCATGGCAAATCAGTGGATATCATATTTTTTGATCTTTCGAAAGCATTTGATAGGGTTGACCATAGAAAGCTACTCCTCAAACTAGAAAATTACGGTATTCGAGGTCAACTTCTTTCTTGGCTTACCTCATACTTGCAAGAAAGGGGAATGACTGTTCGAGTTGGTAACTGTTTTTCCAAAAGACACAGCTGCCTCAGCGGCGTACCTCAAGGTGGCATATTATCGCCACTCCTCTTTCTTGCCTATACAGCAGATTTGCCCGCAATACTCAAAACACATACCAATATGAAAATTCAAATGTTTGCTGACGACATTAAAATATATCTATGCTATGATGAGGACCAATATAATGAAGCATTTGAGGCAATTTCCTTATCGATCCAAAAAATGACTTTGTGGTCCAGAGATTGGAATCTGCCTGTCAATGCCCTCAAATCTAAAATGATGCACCTTGGTAGTTCTCCGTGCCCAACTTATGAGTATGAAGGGATCACTTTAGAATCCTGTAGCACTACTAGAGATCTTGGTGTTTTAGTAGATAATCAGTTAAGATTCACGCACCATTATGACGCAGCTATTAAAAAAGCACTTTCAAGTCTTTTCCTTCTTTTACGTAATATCCACTGTAATGACCCGGTGCTATTAGTAAAACTTTATAAAATGTATGTTCTACCGCATCTAGAATATGCCTCACCGGTGTGGAACCCCTTTTTGAAAAAAGATATTGAATCGATTGAAAGGGTCCAAAAAATATTTACAAGAATTGTTTTCTATCGCTGTTTTCCCACCCCCGACTATCCTCAATCTTTACCCACGTACAGATTGAGGTTATCCGCCTTGAACTTACGCAGCTTGAAATACAGAAGAGTATTCAATGACTTGGTATTTGCCTTCCGCATAATACGTTTAGAAACAAGATTAAGAGCGAGTAAGTTTTGGATATTTAGGCATTGCGGAACTCGTACAGGTAGGCTGAATGTGCGCTATCGCAAATTAAATAACAGAATCCTTTCAATAGCCTTCAATTCTTTTGTATGCCGAACGTCAAGGTGGCTCAATCTCTTACCGAAAGAGATTACTTCCAGTGAAAACTCCTTGGTTTTTCGCAAGAGACTGGCCCAAATTGATGTTCTACAAACCTTGAATATTGCAGACTTTTAGAGCTGTTTCAACTGTCTACATCATCACCGCTGGTCAATCGAGCTCAGACTATTAGTGCATCCTCCTAGTCCTATTCAAGCGATACATTGAAAAGTTGAAGTGTTCTCTTCGTTTTCTGTTGTGTGTTTTTTTTGGGTTCTTTTATTGTTTCTTTTGCTGTCTTTGATCTGTCTACGGCTTTTTGTTATCACGGTTTCTGTAGTGCTCGCGGTCTCTTCTACAGGAATAGCCGTTCGAGGAATTCAAGGTTCGGTGACCATTTTACCTTGAGGTCCCCCCTTGTCCATTCGCCCAGGGTCCCTTCGCCTCTTGCTAGGGTTAAGTTGGTTAACCAAGCCCTGGTGCACTGTTACAAACACGCGTCTGGATAGGGGACAAGGATGTCGGTTAATGGCTTCTCACGTTCTGTAGAAGGAGAACGACCTGACCACCTATGCAAGAGACATGTCCTTCTCTACTTTTTCTGCAGAAACTAGTTAAGCCAGCAACAGTGTACTTCTCGTTTTTATTTACATTTTTTGGCGCACCTGTGAGTGCATGAATAAATAAATAAATAAATAAAAAATAAAGGCGGACACCGCAAAGGTTAACTAGATAGGCTAGTCTTTGCGTACAGCACGGGCAAGCGAGTTCAAGCTTTCGCGTGAAGGTATTGGGTCAACACCTTAGTAACCCGTACAGCAAAAGAACCCCCAAGACTCCCGATGTGCCAAGAATGCAGTGACAATTCATCCGTCATTTCACACTCCATTTGTCAAATATAACGACTATAAATCAACGAAACTTGATTCTCACCTGACCAGTGACTTGATCATCAATCTGAGGGCTGTTGAATACGGCAGCCAATCCAAAGTCGGCTATGCAAGCCGTCAGTGCTACTTCTCTTTCATCCGCAGATTCCACAGCTTTGAGTAAGATATTCTTAGACTTGATATCTCTGCAAAAAAAAAACATCACTTGCTACATCAACCTTTCCTTCAGTGTGAGAAATCTCACCTGTGGACCACTGTGCACTTTGTACCCTGCGCTTCATGGAGGAATGCCAGTCCTTCCAGCATGCCAGATAGTATACGAAGGCACTGCTTCAAGGAAAGCACGTTCTTCTAAAAAGAGAAACTGAATTACAAAAACGTTTGAACGTCTGATCACTTGCTTATTGTTTTGGCACCAATTCAGCGAAAAAGAGGTCCATAAAAGACGCATTCAGATTTCTTGCACTTTGATTCAATTCCTCACAACACGTATCAAACTAACGGAGAACAAAAAGAGGATGAAAGCTGCGAGACTGTATGAAAGCAAGCACAACTATAGAAACGAAAATAAAAGTTAGCTGTAGAAGGAAGTTCTAACAACCTTGAGATAATCGTGTAGATTGCCTTCCTTCATAAACTCGGTGATCAGCCAATACTCGTTAGGACGACGTTCAACATCGATATATTTCAAAATGTTGGGATGGCCAGCTCGTCGAAGTACATCAACGTAGATAGTCTAAAAATAGTAGTAAATGTGTGCACAAACAACATGGATTTTTAGATACAGATAAACTGAATATAGAAGAAATAAATAGTCTCTTGAAACATTCATACATCAGACCTAAAAAACAGCTGAATTTTAGATGTCTGATTCATTTAAAAAACCTGACTCACATACGAAAGATGACCGTAAATAACATAATTTCATTTTGATGTTACAACCCAAACGGTAGAAAAAGTGGAAGTGATTCGCTTACGGCAATCCCCTATTTTCGTTTACATTAGTCATACCCAATTACCCAATTCATACCCAAGTCTTCCACTGCTTCTCACCTGTTCTGAATGCCAGCTCTCCTCATCCTTCAGCACTTTCACAGCCACTTCCTTGATCTTCTCGCCATTGTGGTATAAACCACTATAGACGTCACCAAACCGTCCGCTAGCAACGTGCTGAAAAACAGATTACATACAATTGATAAATCCGGTCATCTCAGTACTACGTACTGTGAAATTCCCAGTACGATAAAGTCAGATAATAAAATGAGAGGAATTCTACTTTATGAGACTGTTATTGCAAAAAGAAATAGAACAAAGACTCACTTTTAGATCCGTGATTTCAAACATAGGCTTCTGTGCTGCACAGTTCAGTAAAGCATAGGTCTCACTTTGTTGTGCTGTAGTGACAGTCTAAAATAGAAAACAAAAATTTTACAAACTTAAATTTCGAGGATCAAAAACGTCCTCTACCTGTGTCTTGACTTTATCCTTACTCCTCCAGCATCGACCGTAAACCAATGAAAATACTATCAGTCCTCCAGCAATGCATACACCAATCAGGCCGAACAGCATCACAAACCACATGTTACTCATCAAATGGGATACTGAACCCATAGATGTCGCTAGAAGGGCATAGTTTGCAAAAAATAAAAAAAAAGAAGAAAAAAGCGTTGTGCCTACACCTAGGGCGTGTACAAAAACTGGTTGGATGCGAAATACTACGCGTGATTCACAAAATTTAAAATTATAATACTTTTGAAAATATTTAACCTATGATTTTTTTAGACTCAAAATGCTAACCATATCTATTTTTTTACGATGTACCTAAGGCGTCCGCTACCCCCGGATATAGCAAAATGTCGTATTAACCATAACGAGTGAAAAAGAATGGATCTACAGAAACCGCCCCGGTATTCGTACTAATCACCTTTTAATGAAGATCTTATTAACTAGATCGCACTAGAGCTTACGCAAGAACCTAGGAAGAGGGTGATCTGAACCCATTTTGCATTTATTTTTTGACTATGAACTATTCTCTAAGTGCAAGCATGTTCACTGCCTCTGCTACCGTGGATGAGTTCTAATCTAGTCCGAGTTTTTACCTTCGATCCCCATAAATCTCACGAGCTACTTCGTTAGCATGCCCTTCCTGTTATCCACGCATCTCATTTTGCCTGCAGAGAACTAGTTGCTTTCAAAGTATGTGTATGTGTGTGTGCGGCGGCGTTCGTGATAAACAACTTACGTCAGCTCAGCGCAGTAGCAGGAAGTAAAAGCAACGAAAACAATATCGAGCTCTAGCGCTGAGCAATGCTCCGTGGTAAATACGGGGAAGAAAGCGTCAACAGGTGTCAACAATTAAGGATCTCTTTGCAGTAACAGGGTAAATACTTACTGTTAGCTGTAGCAGGGGTTTCTTCTCGAGGTTCATCTACCACAAGGATGGAGACTTTCTTATTGCACATATGCGTACGACAACAGCAGAATTCCATATTTGGGCGATTTTGACGTCTTCCGCTCACAGCTACACACTAAAAATAGTTCAATAACATAAAGCCTCTGCAGCCACAGGGAAAATCACAAATGAACAAACCTCATCCTGAACCTTACAGTCGGCAATTACTTCCTTGTCATGCTGCCAACAACCCTTGAGAGTAACTTCAATCTTTCGTTCCTCCGCACTAGCATTCTGGAAAAAATAATCGGATGAGGATCGACATCTTGAATGTCAACTCAAAGCCATGTTCAGAACACATCTATGCTTCAGCTACCACTACTCGCTCCCCGTTTCACAAAAAGAAATCATACAAAACTGTCCATTAGCTTCGCTAAACGGCAGTTGTTGTTGTTTTTCGTTCTTGCCGTTCTACTCAAATGATATCTTGTTTATGCTCATTTTCAATAGATATCTCGTAAACAAGTTTTCAAAAGTTCCCAATTTTCATGTGAATGATAACTTCCATAACAACCTTGCAGATAACCAATAAAGCATATAAAAACAGCACCAAGCTTTTAAGCCGCGTGAAACGCACGAAGATTACTGCATCTGCGATATATGACAAAGAGTCCCTCACTGTCAGCGAAAAAGAGCGAGATGAGCACGCAAAAGCAATAGGAAATCAAAAATCACATGTACTACTCCGCATCTTGCTTTTCAGCCAAAGTGCAAAATCCTTCCCATCAACAAACAAATGCGAGAAAAACCAAAAATCAAGCAGGAAGTATTTGTTGATGTAGCAGTTGAAAACAAAACTGTTTAAATATTTTGATTTGGGAAGGAGCAAAGTTTTCATTTGGGATTAATGGGAATAAAAAACAATAATCGCTGCACTCACCCTCTCAGTTACATATTTGAATACTGTCATGCATCCAAGCCTTTGCGCTCGATTTTCTGGTTCCGCATAACATTTTTCGAGCGTCGGACATTGCGGATCATTTGGTGCACAAGACTTTGGGTCGAACTTCTAAAAAATATATTTTTAAAACGCATTCTAACCGAACATCGAAGGTTTACCAAAAGTGATAGCAACAGGAAGATTAAGAGAATATGAAACATACCTCGCAATATATGAACGGCCTTCCTTCATCCAAGTCGTAGTTCAAACCCAGTTGTCCATAAACTCGTTTCATATACACCGCATCGTAGCGAACGGATGCATTCTGAAAACAACAACATCAACGGACAGAGGGCAAAATACGAAAAAATCTTATAGCTAGATATTCGAAAAAAGACAAAAAGAGAGATCTTTCGGATTTGAGAATATAATTGATCGAACTAAACCGCTCATTTTAAGCACAGGATTTATGACTTCTTGCAACACTTCGTAAGCTATAAACAATCTAAAAAAACGTATCTCTTAAAACAATGTAACCCCTGGCTTCGTGATCTCCATAATATGCTGCTACGAAACTTTCTCCAAGCTACAAAATCATGGACTAATCTGTTGTCTAGTCTACAGCAGCGATTCAACAAAAGTTACAGCTATAAAAAATTGTATTTATTTGAAGGTGACGTATGAATTATGATTGTATCTAATATCGATATTCAGATGTATTTATGCATGCAGCAAGAAGTTTTGTTGGGACATAGAATAACGGTTGAGGCTTAAGTACTTGATAAATAAGTCTGAGACACTCATCCATACCATAAATCACACTTCCCGAAGTACCCATGAGCCCAATCAACGTAATGTACCCGAGAATGGTGATTGGTGCGCTCGGTAAGAGAGTCGGGTGACGGTCCGGAGTTAAAACTCCGAATGATACACATGAGCCATTTGGGTGATGGGCTCAGCACTTCCCAATGGGTTTCTAAGAAGCCCAGGTATGAAAATCGCATGTAACATTTGCACTGGACTTCGTCCTTCTTCTTCCCAACCATAATCCCTTTTTTTAAGCAGATGATCTCTAATTTAACCATATTATGACCCTGGGTTCTCTACCGCTTGAATACCGTCCATCCCATTCTTGTACACTTTACAGCCCCGATGTACGTGGGCATTGTGTGGCAAAAATGTCACTTCCTGACAGCAGTGTTACGAATTTTCCATGATTACAACTCATCTTATCCCTCTGCATGTACCCCACCATTCGTTTCTTCCTTGCTACAAAGAAGAAACAAACACGAATCGCGCGCAATCCATCAGCGGCTCTCTTTAACCTCGTCAGTCCCCGCACAACAAGAGTCCGAACGCCAAAGCCTCTTCAGTGCCGAGGTGTATGTGCATCCGCACGTGGAATGCATGACGCACTCTCTGCATGCTGCTTGTGTTTGTGCAGTTGTATGCGATGTGTGTGGTTCGATACGATGAAGACGGCAGCGTTCACTCGCTGGCCAAAGGGGGAGGAGGGAGGAGGCACGAGGTGGAAGATCAAAGACCACCCAGCGAGCGCTCGCTCCCCTCATTAAATATCGAATGATAATGTGTTCTGAGATATGGAGCGAGGATAGATAAGGAAGGATCCTGGGAGGGACGGAAAGATCATCTTAACACCATAATTTTCTGGCAAAACAACAAGGCAAGCCTTGAAAAGTTACAATGCCAAGCCTCAGTATACCAAATCAAATCTTCAATGTATATAAAATCGAGAAAAAACTCGCATGAGAAGAATCACATGCCCTATCTACCATTACATTCCAACGGGCGCAATGGGAAAAAAACGGCGAAACGATAAATCAACACAATAGATGGTATGGTATCATGTGACGATAGAAATAATGACCGGTTTGCTGTAAGCAAACGTGCGATGTTAAAGCTATACATTACTCTTGGAGCTTCACAAAAAACAAACTGAATAATGTACAGCAATAACAAACTTGAAATCTCTTGAAGGCCTCGGACAGAGTTCAGACTTGATCGTCGCGATTGATCGCAACAAGACAACTGTAACAATATCATGCATGCCGATCTTCTTGCACTTCGGTTGCGATAGTTTCCCATAATTAATCGCGACTAACTATCACAACCGAAATACAGGAACACCGGCATGCAATGAACTCGTAACACTTGTCTTGTAGCGATAAATCGTGACGGCGGAATCGCGTGAACTTTGCCCTAGGCTAAAGGGTGTGACTCGAAAAAATTGCGGATGTGGCTTCCACAATTACGAGGGCTTCCTGAAACCGCTGAGTTGTGCTTGAAGTCAAAAAGTGCTTTTTTATTGTTTTCTGGCCTTAGAGATGGCTGAGGAGCCTAGAGGAAAGATTCCCGTCAAAACTGTGGCTGGTTATAGGAGACGTCTCTACAACGCCGGAAAATAACCTTTCCTGAGAAGCACTTTCTTGGCTTTACAAGCACAGTCCTGGACCCAGCGCATCCAGAAGGCTAAGGAGGGATGAAAAGGCAGTTACAATATTCCCGAGCTGCCTTTGAGCTCTGATAAGCTGATCCATAAAATGTGAAAAAGACACATCCACCCCGTATAAAAAATTCGGAAAGTGCATAATGTGGTAAAAACTTATGCTAAACCTCCTTCCCCTCCTCCCCTCTCTGATCCAAGTACAACCCTTGGTCGTTCATTCTTCGCGCTTGCCCCACCTATAATCTTCATAGAACTTTTTTTGAAATTGCATTGCACATATATCAACGTCGACAGGCTTTCGTTGCAGATAAATGTGCTATCTTACGTAAACACTTCAGCTGCACGTATTTCAGATCATGAATCAAATTCCTTTACGTTTAATTGTACGTTGAAAAACGCACAAGTGGAACCATTTCCGGCATTCCTTCACTTTACGCGAAGTAATGACTTTTTGATAGGAATCAGATCGGGCAGCAGCAAAAAGTATCTTACGTAGAGATAATACGTACATACATATTACCTCGCATACTGATTCGGTAGCCATCGTTGTTTTGATTCAGTGCTCACGCAAATTTGTGCTACCTATGTGTGAACTGAGGGGGGAGGGGAGGGGGTATCAATGAGAAATTTTGCGTGAAAAGCAACTCAAATGATTCTTTCGTGGCTGAGAAAACTTTGAACGGCGCAGACGGCACTCTTTCCGAACGCATCGGTCACACCTTGGAGCAAGTACGGTGATTGATTCTCAGAGAGGGGTACGATCCGAGCGGAAGTTAAAAGTCATATTTCTCGGCCAAAAATAAGCGATATGGCTGCCCCTCGGACAATGGCTTAGTTAACACGTTGACGACAATGCCAATTTTTAGTCGTCTGCCTTGTGGGACAATGCCTTCCACGGATAAGTCAAAAATTTCCAGCTAAAATCACGCAGATCGTCATTTAAACTATACTTACATGAATTCTTGAAAGCAGCTCTAAGCTTAGAGCGTAGAAGACCTCATGAAACGGATGTACCCAGTAATTGTTATCATTTCAGCAGCATTTATGCCGTGACCCACCATGTGGGTCACATTGTCCCACGTGGCAATCACTGCATGACCCACTATGTGGGTCACGCTGTCGTCAACGTGTTAAATGCACCGTCCACCCAAATTCTCGTTTTCCATGTTTTTGACGTTTCGGGGCCTTTTCATGTCCCTGATTCCGAATATCAAGTCGAGACTCCGCGAAAACCCCGACAATCCCAGTTCCGGAGAACCGCTAGGCCAGTTCTCGGCAACGGTGATTGGCTGGATGCGCACGGATGTGCGGGACGAGCGTCACGCCCACTCAAAGAGGAGGAGCCAACGTGGCGAATAGTCATCCAAAGCGATTTTCGAAGCAGTTTTCTCGCTTCAGAAGCCACTTTTCGCAACGCGAGTTGAGCAAGTATACAATTGCGGGTCCCACTACTACTGTTAGACGTCAAAATCTCATCGACCCCATTTTGGTTGAACGGTGCCTTTAAGTCCTTCTCAATCGGTATCCACATAGAAAGTCTGCATCCAAATTCCCTGCACTGCTTTCAATGTTTCCAGGTCGAATTCTTGCTGCACTAGATTTTGTGCTCGAACAAATTTTGGATTACTTTTGCGATAACATCAACACAAAGCCCAATATAGCTATACTATTTAACATGTAAACCGAAAATATTTTCCATAAAACTATTCCCTGTTCAAAATATTTACTTTTCCATCCAAAACATCGCAATTTTGTACGCCCATTAAAATCAATCGAAGATTTGAGACAGTCATGCCCGGTTCAAAGAATGGCACTTTTATCATCATGTGTTTGAAAAACATAAAGAATGCAGAACAAAACATGACGGTTCTCTGCCGTTCTGCAAAAATTGCAAACACCTTTGCAGAAGAAGAAAACAATCTGGTTATTCTTATGGGGGAAAATGATGACTTTAGGGGCTCACTTAAAGCACAGGTTCGTTGCTGCAAAAGAAAACTGTAAGTGCTCTAAGGAAATGTGGAGCACTTATAGCCTGTTGACCGATAAAACTGGTGTAATCAAATATATCCACATTGAAATGAGGACTTTGATGGCAAAATTTTTCGGAGGTGAAAGAGGATAAGGAACTCGATTGGCGAAGCGCTGGAACATACTGCAAGCAGTAAGCGCAAACTTTCCACTAGGCCTGGTTAAAGGAAGATTAACAGCCTAATTCTGTGCTTGACATCAGATATTAAGGGGATATTCAGGCAAATCTGGGTGCCTTGATCCCTCATGCGAATACCATCAAAGTTCTCAGTTTTCTCTAATCACCGTAAATGAAGACGCTTATAGGTCCACGCCGGAGTAAGTATGAACAAAATTTGGCGGTTGAATTTTTCCTAATCAAACCAAACGAGCGGCTAATTGGAACTCAGTTTATGTGATTCAACCATACAAAGGTAATCATGAGTTCAGCTGATTTTCGACTACGCGACCTAAATCTTGAACTTTATGAATTTATGTGATTAGTTTATGTCGGCTAATTGGAACTCAGTTTATGTGATTCAACCATACAAAGGTAATCATGAGTTCAGCTGATTTTCGACTACGCGACCTAAATCTTGAACTTTATGAATTTCCGAAATAGAGAAATATTTATTTTCTTTTCATGCAGGACGACGAAGATGAGTAGGCGTATACCGCATGAGCATCTGCCTAGCGTCTCCGCTCTCTTCAAAAGTAGTTCGGCAAAACAGACCACTGTCCGGTTTTGGCAGTCTTTGTAGTAGATTCCAACCCCCACCACTTCATGTGTTAAGTCCTAAAAACGAGCTCAACTGGACCGGCCATACTATTCCAGGAGGTAATTCCTGCGATTCCTGTAATTCCTGCAACTCCTTCGATTTCTCGACTTCCGATGTGCAGCACCACGGAGCGCTTGCGAATTTCTGTATACATTGTTGTTTTCGCAATATACATTGTTGCGGGAACCTCAAGAATCACAGGAATAGTTGGCCGGTTCCAACCACCTATGACGCCCATTCAGTTGAAATGGGCGGGGTTGGTGGGCTTTGGAAACTCCGTTTTCAGAATATAACGATGGAGTTTGCGGCTACGGGGTACTAAATTTTCGAAAGCCAGTTAAACGAGACAACCGTTCCCAGGCAAGCCCAGCCATCCCTGCACCGAAGCGTCCTCAGCCCAAAAAAAACACCCCCCACCCCTCCTCTATCTTTTCAAAGGATAGAGGGGAGGATGGGAAGGGGGCTACGGCGCTTCGAAGACCACGACGGAGCTACAGTCGGCAGCGCAAGAATTCTACAATAATCGTCACCAATAGATATATTATCTAGCCAAGGATAATGCTCTTCTTATCACAAAACTTTGAACTTGGCTTAAACTGATAGAAAATTGAAAAGACTAAACCAGTAAAGAACCTATTAACCCCATGTTAGTTATTACGTAGAATTTCTCATTTTGTGCTAGCTGGTGTGCACCGCTTTCTTTGCTAGTGCACACCAACTAGCACACTAAAGACTAGTCCACTAAAGACTTCCTCGTCGCCATAGTAAGTGTTTTTTTTTAGCTTTTGCGCAATGTGCATACAAATCGCTTGCCTGCGTGTAAAACACGCACGAGGGAGAGAAGTGCAAGAGCGCGCTGCGGGTAATGTTGCTCCACAAATAACATCAAGTTGGCTGGATCTCACAAAATGTCTTGTATTGCGTACAAGAAGCGTCAAACTTTGAAGAAAGTATGCCAGGAAGTCTCGCTTGGCAGCATTTCTGTTTACCATGCAAGCGGGAATTCACCGCTTCCCAGGTATACCTCACCCAATTGGCAATACTCCAACTGTTCATAATTCATGGTATGCATTTTGACTGTACAGAAGATAGGGCATCCCATCAATCTACAAATCATAACCGCTACGCATTTGCAGTCTGCCAGTGTTGGATTTGAACATCTGGCACACTGCCAGAATGTGAGGGGATTGGATCGCGTGAAGTATATTCAGTGCCAGAGGCGATTTCGTAAAGGCGTGCTCTCTTGTGCCCTCTTAGGAGTAAACAAGGTGAAGTTATCGAAAACATATTTCAGGGATGATCTTCAGCCCAAAAATGCACTAAAGTCAAAGTTATCGAAAATCCTTTCTACCTTCGTGCAATGCGCCACAATACCAGCAAGAATACCTCCCCCAAGTTCAAAGATCCGTCACATCAGATGTGTTTTTCATGATGATGATTGTTTACTCGGATGCCCTTAGCTGCTTTGCCATGGCATCGTAGCTGACGTGCACCTGATTACGGGTATAATTTCAAGTCTTGATTAGCGAAAAAAATAGGTTATGGCTAAAGAGTTAGAGTTAGGTTTCTGCTTGTGATGAAGTAAAACATATCGCGTCTTGGACGCAAAACAATTACACAGTTTGCTGTCATTGTTTCTGACTCATAGCTTATAGCAGCAAATTCCATCTTATTAAACGCTTCCACCTCATAGGAAAGATTGTCATGGTAACAACTCAGCCATTCGTACACAACCATTATTCAGGAGTAAAAAAGATGTAGAAGCGAAAACAAGGGAAAAACGATTTGGCATCGACATAAGCTGTGCTGTCAAACATTTTCTAGACCCCGCAGAATCAATGGACCTAATCGAGATGAATTCACCTCCTAGACATTAAGGCGAGTCAAAAACAAAGTATGTAGTATGTTACATCTAACCGTAAAATCACTAGAATGGACCGAAATGGGCCAAACCTGCTTTAGTGTCTTATGTAATTCAAAACTATCCGTTTCCATGACTTAAAATCAAAACTGTTCCTATGTCAATTCGTGTTATATAATCTGGATAGCATTTACGAGAACATGCATGAATTTTAAGTACTGAGAATTGATATTTGGCTTGAAGGCACCGTCCACCCTAAGCTGAGGGTGTTGAGCTTTTAAAAGCATATAACAGTAGGACCCCCTATCAATCCATTGCCCATCGCGGCGCAAAATGCCGCTTCAGAAGCGAGAAAATCGCTTTAGAATAACGAAGATGCACGAAGACCCCCATTTATGCCCTCCCTCCCCCATCCATGCCCGCCCCTTTGTGCGCGCCCATCCAATCACCGTTCCGGAAAGCCGGCCTGTGGGTTCTCCGGAACGGGGACTGCCGGGGTTTTCGCGCATTCTCGACTTCATATTTGGAATCAGGGACATGAGAAGGCCCGGAAACGACAAAAACGTGGAAGTCGAAAATCTGAGTGGACGGTGCCTTTAAGCGATAGCTCGAAACTCAATTCATAGCGACAATGATAATAAGAGTTCAAACATGAAACTTCATGCACCCATTTCTGCACCTATCCCTGAAATTTTGAGGATAAAAACAGTCACAAAGCGCAGCAGAAAAGAAACGCTTTACGGCCTCAGACGAGTCGCAACGTGGGAGGTCTATCCAAAATATGAGTTAAGACAATAAATAACATGTTGAATATTAAACTTTATTTTACATGAACTACCATCCCCCCTTCTCCTTCTACTCTCCTTGATTTGCAGTTTGTAAATAACCTGAGTGCCAGATAAATGTTTGTAATCCAAAAGCCACTCGTTTGAAACTGAAATCCTCAATGTGCATGTTTTAGTTCAGCTGCTCCAGCAATTAATCTCGAAAAAAAGGAGCAATATCCAATCTCGCTTCAAAGAACCAAACTATACTTTTTTTGTACCCAACTCATGCATCCCTCCGTATAATCTCAGAATGACAAGGAAGCCAGCGCCTGCAAAATCAGTCAGATAACATATTATTTGTCCCCTAATAGCTATTTGCTGCTGCAGCCATGTTCACAATGCTTTTAGGCAGATTAAAACATTCCCAGCATTTCCCTCTTGCAGCTTCTGAGATTGCGCTCTGCATCAAGGCTGAGCGCGTGTGCAGGGTCTTATAAGTTTGATTTCATGCCACACACAGCGCGTTAATGGCTCATATTACGCACGCATATTGGAATGTAGCCGATGTGCCCACGCTCAGTGCCCATTCAGCCTGTCATTTGAATTGATAGAATACCAAAAATGCGTAGCGGCATACGCAAATGCACGTATACCTTCTGAATTATTAGCGCATTACGCAAAGGATCAGAAAACGCATATCAGCACCCCTCAGTTTTTTTGCAGCTCTCTTCTGCTACTGTTTTTCCAAATCTGAGTTCTAACTCACATTTTATAGACTAAAACCTACACAATTTCGCTCCAGTGGATCAAAAGCAAGTCAGAAAACTCAGATGAGCAGTCCATGAGACTGTAAGCTATGCCAAGCTGATCAGACAGATGGTTATCTTCACATAATCTAGACATGACGTTTTGCTCAGCATAATATGTAGGTAAAATCTCCTCAGCCCAGCAAAACATTTTGCTCATACTGATAAAATCATTCCAAAGCTGGCTACCATATTCAAACAATCGATCAGGAAGGAATTCGATAAAAAAAACATCGAGTTGAACTCTGGCCGTAACACATAACAAATTCATAATTCGTATTCACCCTTGTGCATGGCATTCATCGATTTTGCAGACTTTCACTCACATGAGGTTTTTTGGAATCGGAAAAATGATGCCTTCGACAAACATTGAATGTTGCGAGTTCCACGCGGTATAGAATTTTCGACTGTAAGTGCAGAAAAATGGAATGGCAGCAGCTTATACTATCAGCTTATTCTATACTATTCCGATACAGCACATCTCCTGTACAAACGCTCTAAATCCATCTGATCTTTTTTTTTCTTCTGAGGGAGATGGTCACAAAAAAGACAGCAACCAAGTGATTGAAAATGATAGCAAATCTTAGAACACAAAGCCAAAAACAAATTAAAATAATTCACTGGACACGATCCAAAAGATCCCTCTGTTCTACGTCAAAATGTTACTTACTCGAATGAACAAAGTACAAACGTACTAGATAACAAATTGTATGGTGAATTGTAAATAATTATACGAGAACTCACCAGTGAAGGTACATTTTCATTATCTCCTAATAATGCGCTGACTGGGTCGATGGCTGTTGCAGTAGTTAACGATGAGTCTCCACTTCTGGAAATTATTACACTGACAGCTAGGTAACCATATAATATTGGAACTGGTAGATTGTTTGCATATCATAACGTAAAAACATTATGGAATATAACACTGTTTTCTGTTATGCCCGGCGACAAGGTCACATGTAGGCTCCAAAAATAGTGAAGTAAATCGGATCAGTTTACTAAATGGTTTGCTTTCATTTAGTTCACGAAATTCGCTCGAGGTGTCATATCAAACCTCTGCTAGGGTCTTGAAAACAAAATTGGCTTCGGAGGCAACTGTTAGCTTGACCGAAATTCCACAATAAGCTTGTAGCGGCAGAATGACCGATGCACTTCAACAAATGTAAATGAAAAGGCTGTTACGACATTCAAAAATGAATGAACAATAAACAAACCAAGGTCATAACACAAAATCCTCTTTGACTTTCCAAAATAAGCTCAACAATGGGTCGAACACTTTGGTACAGAACTTTTGGTCAAAGATTGTTAACCTATAGTGCGCCTATTTGAGATACACAAAATAAAGATCAGCGAACTTGCTAGTATGGTGATCTCCAAAGTGTGAGTAATATGACGTGATATACAGAGAAGAAATGAGTTACAATAAAACATGAGGACATCCCAGGGGATAATGGAAGTTATAATTCCAGGTAGAATGAAGGTATCCTTCAATCTAAGACTAAGAGACTCGAAATCGCTTTGCACATATTGTCTAAACAAGACTGAACTAGTTCTGTCCAGTTTTCTAAGTAGCAAATAATAATAGACTAGATAGAACACAAGTAGCACCTGTTAGAACCAAAATCAAGCATTAGTCTCCTAGTCACAGAGCAAATGTTATAAGTCTACATGGTGAAGGAACAGATAAATTCTGGATTGAGCGAACGCGTGCAAAAGCCGAAAAAGCAGATTCTTTCCAGTGAACACATTTCCAAAGATGTATCATTATGTAAATGTGTATGAAGATAACGTAAAATCAGAGCGAATCTTCAAAACGTCAAAAAACAGAAAATAATAGTTACATAACTAAAAAAAACAGTTTGTGCTCACCTTCGTATCCGCACAGCATTATCCTGAACGGGAACAGCTGGCAGTAATTCCGGTAAAATAATCAGCAGAATCAGTAATGAATATACGGTGGTGTGATGAAGCCTTCGCAGCATCATCGAAGAAAGAAGCACACACGATGTGTGCGCGTTGCTTTGCAACACACAGTTGAAACACTCGCGCTCGCACACACACGCGCGCACGCACCACGTGTCCACGCCCTTCGGATGTCGAATGTATGAAAACACACACACAACACACACTCGGAGCGCCTAATGTGTTCTGTTGTCCAACTGCAGTCCTTGGCGAGTGTGCAGTGCGATGCACTGAAATGACACAGTATCCTGATTCAAGGAACACAGAACAATCGATCGATAATCGATGGTACGTGCCAGCGCCATGTGGCACACAGCACACGTGACAACGCGTACTTCAGTTGAAACTGACGCCAAGTCGGGTGAAAAACTTCAATGTGAAGGAGAGAAAGAGAGTGGGAGAAAGTGGGAGAGCGGAGAGAGAGTGGAGCGAGAAAGAGTGATATGGAATGCGATGCGAGTTGGCACGTAAACGATGTGCGTTTATGAAAGTTTCTAGAAGATAAGCAAATAAGCGTATGGCATGAGATCTTTATCAGTGGGTGGGCATTAACTAGGAAAGTAAACGAAGTGTGAAAAAACTGCGAAACGAAGAAATCATGTCTTATGACAAAGAAATTTGAAATCTTTCAGCGCTGACAGTTTACAACGCCCAACTTAGCGAAAGAAAACAATGTATCGGACAAAAAATGGAACCAAAATCATAGAGATCAGACTGAATCATGAAATTGCGTGATTGCAAACTTCTCCTCCAAATGGATAATGGAAAGGGCAACGAGGACATCCGTTGTTTGCCGAGTGTCCAATCAAACCACATGGAAAACGTGCTGCATTGATTTACATTAGCCGCGCCTAGTGCACGAACAGAAGCCAAGAAGAGATGACGTAGTTTTATAGCGATAAGGACGTAGCCGAGCGGCAAAACATGACCCGAATCAAGTTCTCGTTAGCGACACATGATAGTTGTAAAATCTTAATACATAAGTATGTACGAAAGCCAATACACAGAAGAGCTGAAAAAAAACACGAGAAAGTTGACCTACAAGACAAAATTGCGGCAGATTTTTGGCTCATCTGGTGCAATTGCAGAACTCAAACCTTCGCATCACCTGAGCTAATCGACGCTAATCGATTCTTTGCATGCAATTTAGAGGCAGCGTCAAGACGGATCTGGTATAGGGCTTTGCGCGATCGCAAGAGTTGTTGAGCTTGCGGCCATTGCACGCGCACTGAAATTCTCAGCCATCTTTCTCCTTTCAAACACTTCTCTGCTATCAGATGTCAGTTTTCCATTATCTGAGACGATTTTAAGTAGGGGATTTTTTGGATGGTTTGAAGCCTTATGGCATCCTGCGTATGCATGTAGGGCCCTAGATAAGGCAAGGCACTGTCCAAGCAGCAGCACTGATGCTTCATTCACGATCGAGAAACTCTTCTCCTCCGTCCCCAGTACGTATAACGGACGGGCATCGGCTTGCATGCTTTCACGCGGGGACCCCATGCAGATGAAATCTCCGCTGCGGTACTGGGAACAGGAATTTAGATAGATTCCCGGGCCATGGATGAATCATTAGCGCTGTAGCCTGGACAGTGCCCACAATCGGTTCCAGTAAAAGCACCACGTGCCAGATACACCTTGGATTCCCTTCAAAGCCAGGTACCTGTCCGGGTACCTGTCACGATAAAGAAGATACCAGCGCCTTGCCCGGATCTTATCTTACTGAGTATCGTTATGTGCTTGTGAATCACTAAATCAAATGCGGGAAACCATTTCGGGAATCAAGAAAGCAACGAGTGCTGAGAAAATTCTCCTTGTCTACAGGCACCTCCGCGGGCACGCACGTGGAAGTAAAGGGAAGCCACAGAAGAAGAGACCCGACAGGCGCTGCCTCAGCCGGAAGTGGTCCTCTGGCGCAGACTACTGCACACTTTCTAGGAACCAGTGGTCCGCGGAGACAGCACTCATAAGCAGTAATTGTTGCTCTACTTAGTTTGCAGTAAAATCTGTGAGAATATAGCTTGCCGCACTTCGTAGTTATAACGCGTGACTTTTTTTTGTTCTGACATGTGGGAAGAACGTTTCATTTCTGATATTTTCTTGAGTTTCAAAAGCTAACTAGTTCAACAAGATGAAAATGAGGATGCAAACTGAGCGGCAGTCTTTAGTATCTCAGAAACTTCTTTGGCAGTAATATTCCCGAAAGAAAAAGCAAGAAAGGTCAGGAAACCGCGACAGAAAGTTTGCAGCACCTAAAGAGACTGCTCAGACAATTAGCCGGAACTTCCGCAAAGCGTTTGGGAAAGTTCCGCTGGGTCACCTCCGGAAGTTCCGTAAACGTGCTGCGGTGTGATCCGCAACAGCAAAAGAAATACCCAAGCAAAATTCGCACCTTGCTCTATTGACTATGAGACACCTATCCTCTGCACTATGGACATTTCGACAATGCATTCCGATTGTTGGCGAAGCAAGTTCGTAAGAGACAACGCACTCAGAAACCTGCGGAAGTACTGGCAGGTCAAAGTGCTGCGGAACCGCTGGCATTCGGAATTTCCGCAGCGCTTTATAAAAAAAATTTCCGGCAGTTCCCGTTTTCAACCAGTCCAATGAAATTCCTGCGGAAGTTCGCATTTTCAACGTTTCCACGTATCAGTGAACTAAGTCCTACGGAACCGCTGCAAATTTAGTTTGTTTGCGGAAGTTGCGGTGAAATGTTTGAGTGTAAACAGCCGATGAGAACCATTTTGTTGGACTGAGTATCGTCGATTCATGCCACGCAAAGACTGGGCGCCGCTGCGTCCGACGAAGATAGTTTCTGCATAGAAGAGATAGCAGACGGTAAGAGGAACGAAAGAGCGCTCAATCACGGAGACGCCGATATGTCCGCATTCTTTGCGTGCTATGAATCGCCTATAGTTGCGAAATGATCGCTTAAAAAATATCTGAATATACTTATGGCTAGTAATAGAAACCATGATGTGAATTCGAGAAGTATTGAAGAGCATAAGTTGTCAGTGCAGCGCACGATATATTATGTATAGTAATAACTGTTACCACCGGAAAGGACATTCGTAAGGCTGCGTTCATACTGATCTGAAAGTTCGAGAACAATATGAACGCAGCCTAAACTATGACAATGGTGGCGTGTGCGTCGCGCACGCAGTCATGCAATGAATTCTCTTGCCCTTAGTTTTTACTATAGTTAGCACCGAATAATTTTCGAATATTCGTATTCGAATGGTTAACTCGGACTAGAGAAGTCGAATATTCAGGAAAACGCACTTATTCTATTACTCGATTAGGCGAGTAAATGAAAAACACTTTTATTCGAATGTTTGTTTATTCGACGAATCGAATAAACAAACATTCGAATAAAAGTGTTTTTCATTTACTCGCCTAATCGAGTAATAGAATAAGTGCGTTTCCCTAAATATTCGACTGCTCTAGTTCGAGTAAACCATTCGAATATGAATATTCGAAAATTATTCGGTGCTAACTATAGTTTTTACCTGTTTTTTTTTGCTTACATATGTGTTTTTCGATACCTGAACTTATTGAGCTGAGTTAAGAATGTAATTTTGTTCCATGCGTGATCTTGTTCTAATGATACACCCTTGCAAAGCCAAAATCGAATTTTGCCACATTTATAAAGGTCTTATACCCAGTTATAGCGTCTTCAGGGAATCGTGGAAGAAATTGACAATCTTTGCGCCCATCAAATGCCACAAGGACATATTAGATACACTAACAAAAGGTTTAATTACACTCAACTCAATCATTAGGCATCTAGGAGCTATCATATGAAGTATCCAGAAGCTATCATATGCTTGTAGGAAAGACTCGAGCAAAGGCAAAAACCAAGAAGTACAGTTATTTCCACTATCAAGCACATAAGTCCCATGGGCATGACTTAATTGTGACTTTGAGCTATTATAAAAATAGAAAGCAGTGGGTAACATCAACTGGAGAGTGGAATTATGATGTGCAATTGCACCAAGCGGCAGAGATTCGGCGGCAAGTATAAGCTCGTACAGAAGTGCAGTCAAAGAACGGTAAGAGAGACGGTCCACATCGCCCATACAAGATGTCACTTCATAGGGCATATAAGGTTTATGTAAGACCTCTATTGGAGTATGGAACGGTAATCTTCAATCCAACGAAGCAGAGAACTGTACAAGCACTAGAAAGAGTGCAAAACTGCTTTACAAGGAAATTATTGATTAGAACCAAAGGCCTCAAATACGAACTTTTACCCAACGGAAAGGATCGAAATAAAATCTTGGGATTGGTCAGCCTGTGCAATAGAAGAAGAAAGCTTGTTCTTATCATGGCTCACAAAATATTATTCGGAGATTGCCAACTCAATCCCGCTAACTTCTTTGAGACTAGAAGTTCTATTACTAGAGGGCACCTCAAAAAATGGTAATACCAAGAGCAGGGAGGAATGTGAGAAGAAGATTCTTTACAAACAGAGTCAGCGGCGATCTAGATAAAATGATGAGAAAGGGTATGCTTCCTCTAAAATTGTCTCAGTTTAAAATGATTCTTGAGAACTATCTTCTTTCGCCATAGTTCCTTATGTGATTGTTAGACCTTTCTAGTTTGTTGTGCTGATTTGTGTTGTTAACTAGACTTGTTGTTCTGTTGAATGTAATATGCATAGGAAATTCCTACGCAATAAATAAAATAAAATAAATAAAATAAAGTTCTTCGAAATATCGATTTCCAAGTAAAACTTAACTGAGCACTGGCTCAACTTTGATTAGGTATATCGCATATTCAAACCAGTCGCAGAAAGAATCTTTGTATAGGGTATCTTTGGATGTTTTTGATGGATTTATTGTTCGAAGGGGCGCCTTTTTTCTACGATGCCCCCCCCCCCTTCCCTACAAACATTAGTACGGAGTCTTCATTTGAGTCCAACAAAGAGGAACTAATTCATATTCATCGTCAGTGCATTTTCTATCAAAATACACTAATTTTTTACATTTTGTATGAAAGGGCTCATGAACACTAATATGGCGAAACAACAAATGAAAACATGAACAACAAAAGAACTTGTTCCATGCAACACCGTAAGCAAATGCGTGTTATGACCCGCCTCCTGCCTAGTCACGTCCAATGAAGTTGATGTGAGGATGCTGTGCGTGCATTAGTCATATTTTTTAGCCAAATAATCTCTTGATCTTATAGGTGAATGATTTTAATTATTATATTATGCCGTACAGGTTGTTATTAGATGATATACTTTATTGCCCAACGGTTCG